AGATCCCCACCTCCCCTGCCCCAGGAATAAGAAAGCATGCTCCAAGTTAGACAGTCACACGTTCTGTTCGGATCAAAAAGCCTGAGCAAAAGCTGTTGCCAAGAGAAACAGACTTAAGTTATAAAGAGCGCATTGCATTAGTTCATTTTTCACAAGAGGATCAAAACAGCCTATCCATCCATGCCAGCTTTTAACTAAGAAAAAACACAAAGGTTTAAGAGGGGCATTACATCTRTCAAAGATCCTGGGAAGCTGTTATTCACCACTGCAGGAGTTGCTTGGCAAGCCCAGCTGCACAGCATGCGCTTCAGAGCGTTTACTGGTGTTCTCCGTGTAGATGGCCTTCCCAGGGATTTATATGGAGTGCAGAAGAAAAGCAGGACATGCAGGCAATTTGTTTTATTGCCTTTTCAGAGCCCTTAAAAAAGAGGAGGAAAAAGGAGTGCCAATTTGAGGAGTCATTAAAAGTTAGTTCTCTGTCCCATGAGCAATTAATCTAAGCACAAACCAGTCAAACCCATCTAGCCCAGCATACAGGAAAGACCGAAGGCTACGYGTGTTACACACCTGAAGGATTAGTTTCCTTTTAGTACTACACTGTTCCAAAACACATTAAAACAAACGTCTGAGTTTCCTTCCTCTGCACCCCCCAAGCACAAACACAAGTGCTAACTGTTCACCAAGCAAGGCAAAAAGACACAGCCACTCTTTTGAAGATATTTAGCTTAATTTCCTTTTCTGCAGCTTCTTGTTGAGCAAGCAGTCAGGAATTGTTCATTCCTGGTATMTAGCACCACTGTATCTCCTTATCTTTCCCCATCACTGTGTTTCCATTAGAAATAAGTAGCTCAACTGCCTTTTCCAGAATAGTCACCTGCTGATGATAGTAAGAGAATAAATGGAGAATGGACCATGAAACATGGTCCAGTGGAAAAAGCTCCTTGGTGGCTGACAACAGCTCCACCTGCTCAGCRGGGAATTGCATTAGAAGACCTAAGCTTATCCTAGTTAGTACTAACATCTTTCATGCTTTAATTTCTTTTATTGTGCTCCATACTGGAATATCCACTGGATTTTTAATCCACTGGAAGGCTAAGAAGCTGAGCAAAACAAAACCAAGGCACAACCATTGAAACACTGTATATATACTGAACAGTTAAGCTGCTCTTCTTAAAACAATACTTAATTATGGAATCTGTGTGGTCTCCATAGCAGCAGAACTGTCTTGAGGAAGAGCAGCCGTAAGAACTCAATTGCAGAAACACTCAAAGCAGTCTGAATGGCTCACAAAAGGAGAGCCCTGGCTTTTATTCAGGTATTGAAGCAGCTGCTACTGAAGAAGGTTAGCTCTTCAGAAAAAGAGGAGCAGCTTTAAAAGCAAGGTAGGACTTTAAAGCAGCTGACAGAAGCTGCACTGCTTCAACTGTAGTGATACCCCATGAAGGTGGAGCCCACCTGCAGCAGTTACAAAATTCACAGTAGAAATAATTACAGCAGTGTCAAACTTACTGACCCCAGGTGCTTGCTGTCTCCTGAGAGTTAACTGCTCCTGCAGCTGGAGCAGCTGAATAGATCGTGTGAATGCATCTCACCTACTTTGGAGCAGCTGTTTTGAACAGCTCCAGGCAGGCAATTTAAGCCAAGCAGCACTACAGCAGATGGGAAATCCTCATATAATCCCCTTTTCCAGTGAAGCAGTTAGGTCTAGTGCACCTTAAAATGCCACAAATGCCTTGAAATGCCTGACCCAGGTGCTGTTTGCAACACTACAACCTGATGCTGCTCAACTGTGCTCCTCTGCATAGGGATGTTTTCTTCTCATCTCTATGAACTCCTCATTTCGCTTCAAGCAAATCATTACCCAGACTATCTCAATCCACTTATTGAAACCTTTTATACTTCAGCTGATTTAGTCTGGAGAAGATCAGAGATAACTCAATATATAACTGGAGTAGGGAGGAAAAATCAGACAGGTAGCATAGCTGCTTTTAAAGTGAACATTCATCCATAGTCTTGGTGCTTGAGACAGCTGCCCTGACCTCTCTGCAGGTGTACTAGTACCTATCCTAACTAGATCCAGCCTGAAGATTACCAAGTCTTTGCTGCCTATCATTACCCTTCACCAGAAGCCACCATTTCCCAGACCTAACAGCAAAGCAGTTAACGTGGGTAATCTCTAGTTGTCTGCTTCAGGAAGATGGATTGTCTTGACCAGTTACAGCTCCTGGGCTCGACTAATGGTCATCTCAAAGCAGAGGGGACTGACAACCTCTTCCACTAGCACATCTGGACCTCAAAAGGAGGTCCCAGATTACATAGCTAAAACCTGCATACGGACTAGGTTTTACTGTATTACAGAAACATGTATAGTTTACAATTCTGGTTTGGAGCAAGCAGTTTCCTTTAATGCAAATGAAGTCAAATGATTGCTCTAAATCTATTCCTAAAGTAACTTTGTGAAGTAACTTTTCCAGCAAGGTAGACAATAGACACACACACACAATGACTTTCAATTCATCTCTAGAGTTCTCTTGATGACTTTTTAGCATTCACTTTCTGGACTGATTCCTTGGAATTAGTAACTATTGATGATCATAGTGAACTGCAGAGCTTGCACAGCATAGCCTCTCAGCATAGCTATCTGGCAAGAGTTCCAGGGATCTTCTCCAAGGCCTGCATTGCAAAAAAATGTACATCTTCTGGCTAATGAGCAGCTAGATGATTTAAGGAACACACACCCATGTTCCCAACCATAGCAAGTCCTGGCTGCAACATCACTTGGCAGCCAGCACAGTTCGTTTGGCACAAAAGTATCTCCCCATTTCCTAATCTCTTCTGCAACTGTTACTGATCAGGGAAGCAAAGACCCACTATCATAATCCCATTTCCCTGCCTGGGGAACTGATGGGTCAGTCAATATACACTGCAGAAAACTGCAAGAGAAATTTACTTTATTTAATGAAAAGACAACTAGGGAAATGCTATGAGCTGTTTCAGGAGAAGTCTGCTGATGCCTGTTGATCTAAGGCTAGGGCTATGGTGAAGAAGGGAGAGGAAAAAAAACAAACAAGCTTTCAGGCACACTTTATATTGGATTAGATTGGAAACAGTAGCAGCAAATTTAAAAGCTAAATGCAAGTAGACAAGAATTTTTCTAAGCTTAAAAAACCCCTTAATTTGCATAATTTTAAAGTTTCCTGTTTCTATTTCAGAGGTAAAAAATGCGTTTCTGTGCCCCAAAGCTTTTCTATTCCCTTTCCTATCACACATTTAAGTGGTTAGTGGAAACAAGAAATAATACTACACCCCATCCTGCTTGTGGGCTGCACACTACCCTTGAACTCTCACTCAACTATTTTTCTAAAGAATTCATCAGGAAGAAATCCCAAACAAAAAATCTCATGATGTGTTTATACTATTTACTGATAAGTGTTCTCCATTAAACATTTTTGACATTGTAAACATGAGGTAAACACTCAAAAACAACAAAAAACACTAACTACCATTACTTTTTTTTTTTCTTTTTTTAACAAAGATTCTTGTTTGTTTTCAACAGTAAATGTAGACTGCCCTGGTGTAAACACCTAATATCAAACTCCACTTTAAGTCACCCCTGAGAGTTTTGCAAAGCAGAGAAACCTTTAGTATTTAAAAATCACCTCCTCAGTCCCTCCAACTTCTTCCTTCCCCTGATACTTTCCTGAGCCCTCAGAAAAATACCCTTCTCATAAACAGACATAAAAACATTCAGTTCCTCAGCTAGGTTGGTTTTCTACAGGCCTGAAGGCTTCACCAAMGGACTGGAACAGCAGAACTGCAACAGCGCCAGCTTAGATTCACTTAGGCTGCCATGCAGCTACACGGACACGGAATACTTCGATTCCATTTTGCTCTGGTTTTAACGGTGGCATTTTCCATAACGTGAGCTAGCAACTGACCTATACAATTGATGATCTTTTCTGGAATTAGGGAGACAGCAGTACTTAYTATATACCAGTGGCAAAATGATGAAAGCCCATCGTTTCTCTCTGCTGTTCAGAACACACCTAGCAAGAAAAAGCAGTAGCAATCCTTTGTTTTGTAAAGACAATGTACGTTAACACCTTCATTCCTAAACAAAGAGCTCAGGCTCTCCTCAGTATATTTTATCTTAACTGACATGACTAGTTTTATCTTAACATGACTACCTTTCAGCCATTAACAGTAAATTTACAAAAGTTTTGTTGCTCTACAAGGCTTCCATATGGTAAAGTGACTCCTGCCTTATCTAGGAGCTGAGTTCAAGTCTGCAATGGTAGACTGCAAGATCTTGAAGCGCCAGCCTTGCTCTCCTTCACTTGCACAGCACTGAATCCTGTAAAAGTTTCAAGAAGGTACTGATGACAAGTGCTCAAGGCCGTTTGCCAAAGGTATATCAATACTGAGGTTTTCCTATTACATGGCAATGGAGGGCTATTTGACAGGAGCTTGGAGCAAGTGAAACACATCCCAGCAAAGAGCAGTGCCTCAGGAAGCAATTTTCCTTTGGACCACATAAAAGAAACGTATGCGAAGAATTGATTATACTTACTGATCAAAACTGAGACACAAACTGTCCAAGGACAGATCTCCAGGACAGGCCTTATATGACACATATAACATTCCTTACTATCAGCTCCCCTCTGGAATTAAACTTTCCTGCTCTTGCCACCGCTTCCCAGCCCTGTCACCCCTAATCCTCAGTGATCCTTTTCTCTGACCCAGCTTCAGCTGCCAAAACCTCTTCTATGCCAGCACACAGATGTGCAGCTCAAGTTATGAAGTCAAACAGAGTTTTATTAAAAGACTATTTTATGCCTTTCCTTAGGCTTCATTAGACCGTAGGCCTAATATCTCCATCAAATGATAATATAAACATAGATTGTGTGATAACAGCATATCACATAAGGAAAACCACCATCTGCTGAGGAAATAAAATAACAATTAAAAAAGCAAGCCTTAGCAGGCAGCAGACAACTTACTTGCCAGGAGAAGACAGGCCATCGAAATGACATACAGTTGCTTGACAGTGATATCATAGCGGTCCATAAAGAGGTCCAGTAAGTAGACAGCAAGATGTCGTGCCGTAGGACACAGATCGCAGCGGCTGCTGAGGACAGCCAGGAGATCAATGAAGTACCGGCGCATCCCGATCTGCGGTGAACGGGCCTTGTACATAGGCAGCTTTAGCTCCTACAGAGGAAAGGATAAAAAGGAGGAAAGAGAGGCCCTGAAACTAATACACGTCAGTCAGCACTTTTGGTGCTAGCATGTTTTAATAGTAAATAGCTACTGAGCTGGCAGAAGTTAGTTCCCATGTAATGTAAAATTTTTATTTGAAAACCAGAATTGTTACAGATTTTGGCCCACCTATACTAGAAAAATAGAGCACTTCATCTGAAAGGTTTTTAAACAAGTTTGCAGCTGATATTCAATGTCTCTCTTTTTTTAGACACCATCACAGCTAATGCAGTTGCCCTGACCAGACTCAAAGCAAATGGGCTAAGTACATGTTGCTAGACATAGACAGGACAGTGCTATTTCAGCAAGGTACATCTCATAAGTAGACACTGAAATACTGTGATATTTTGTATTACGCATTTTCAAAAAAAGAATTAAAAAGTAGCACAGTGCTACACAATAGAAATATTTTAAGCAGGAAAACAGAGTATACAACACTTAGTTCTAGTAAATAAACCGGGCTTTAAGAAAGCAAGTATTCAGGGGAGGTAGCTGCTCTAGCTATGACTCCAGTGGCTGCCCACTCTCCCCACAGTGCTCCTGGAACCAGGCATTCCCCATGGAGCTTCAGTTTATCAGGAGAAAACAGCCAGGCAGTCCCACGAGGAGGGCTGCAGGTGACTGGAAACCAGGGAGGCTCCATCAGCCCAGGCAGCTCACAGAGACAGCAAGCAGGATGCTGTTWTAGCTCATTGCTTCCCAGGCTTTCTTAAAAGAATCAGTGGGAAAAAACACATTCTGGACCGAACAGACATATGCTGCAGAGAGGCAAACAGCCCTTTGGAATACGGGGCTGCCTTCACTGAAGGGATTATAAAAAAGTTCCCCAGCAGTAAGAATTTACAAGAAGGAAACATAGAACATGCATCTCCCCTGTTGTTTTATATCCTGAAAACAATCATGATTTTAATTTTCAATTTTATTATATCGACACATTTAAATCCCAGCACRTAACTGACATACAGAGGTTCAGAGTCTGAATTTATAGTACAGCCAAAAATTTGAGCAGGAATGGTTTCCAGACCSAGGTTTATAGGAGGGAAAATAGTTGTATTTCTTAACAGCTCAGTACACCAACTAAGCTATCGTACAAACAGGTGGCATCTGTAGCTCTGACAAGTGCTGTTCTTGGCGACTAACAATTTCATTTTTTGAAATTTGTCTTCTTTGAACACCTGTCTCCCAGCAAAATGTGATGAATCTCAGCTTTTAAATTTAACTTACTTTTTAGACCACAAAAAATGCAAGTTGCCACCATTTACTCCAATGATACACCTATCCCAATAAATAAATAAGCAGGTGTTGAGCTGTCTGCTAGAATGGCCCTTTCACATGCAGCTTTGACCTGATCATTTAAATCTACTCCAACAACTTTGCTCTGGGCTACTGAACAACTGTCACATTGAAATGCTAAAAGCAACAGCATAGAATAGGCTCACAGGTGTCCTGGAAATCACTTAGCAAGCTTTGCTCAACATAGTGATTCCTATCTCTCCACAAAAAACSCTCAGAAAAAAAAACCAAAAACCCCTCAGAAAGGCAGAACAGGCATTYAAAAGGATCACAATCAGAGAACTGAAAAGGTAGGCTCATGCAGTTGTGCCTGGACTGCAAAGGAAAACTTAAAGACAAAGACAATTTATAAGCCATCTCCTGTCAACCTCAAGACTTGACTTCCTAAAAGGCAGGAGTCAATGTAAACATTTTAAAGTGGTTTTAAAGGAGACAAATCTTCCCTGGTAACCACATRTGAGAGCCGGCCAGGCTCCAGACATGAGCTATTCATCCATCAGAGACCAGCCCATCAAGGAGYAGCCTGACCATTTCAGTGGGCACCATTCCCTGCCTCCACTTTAGGGGTGAGATTTTGTCCGTGCTCAGCCTCTTTTTGCAGCTGAGTGAGAAAAAGACACTTCAGAAGTCATGTCCAGAGAAACTACGCAGCAAGGTTTAAAAAACTAAAACCTTTTAGCAACCGTGTGAAGTTTAAGGCTTTCTGTCTGAACTAAGCTAGCCAAAAACTGAAGAGGCTGTGGAAAACTTAACAGGATCCTCCAGCTGCCCTAAGGCAGCGGTTATATCTTACACCAGTGTGCAGGAGTTGGTGTTCAACAGAGCAATAAATTTCACATGAGGATTTCTACTGCCAATTCCTTTTCACTAGGACTCTTCCCCCATTGATATAAAGCCAGCAGTGAACTGACAAGCAGTACAAAAATTAGCAAGTTATGTGACATTCAGCCAAACTAATAGCAGTAAGTTCTGGGAACAGAAGAGGAATTTTTTTGCGATTCACAGGTATTCACAATTCACAAGAAGAACCAGTGCTGTCTTCCCAGCTCAGCACCCTGAGCGCACACTCTGTGCTGGCTTTTTGCTGTTGGTGTTTGGAGGGCAGGGTTAGGGTGCCTGCTTTTTATTTCTGCCCACCTCTTCTTACCTCAGTCTTACAAATAAGTTACTATTGTAGCCTAATCCAGAGAACTTCTATTGTCATTTAACTTTAAGGRCATGCAAAGTACACCTGGAATTTAATCATTTTGCTCCATCCGGTCAACACTCAATACCTTGCAGACCACAGCCCCACTTAGCTAAACTTTGCATCCAATTAATCACAACACTGATATTTAACTAGCCAGGCGATTCACAGGCTTTTCATTTCCTCTGCATTGAGCTAGAGTCTTTGGAAGGTCACAAAGCTTCTCAGCATCTTTCAGCCCTCTCCGCGCGAGAAGCAGGTCTGCCACGGGCTTTCAGTATCTGCCCCCATGCAGAACGCATCTCCCAGATACAGCACAGGCCATCTGTCATGGAAAGACATCAGCTTCCAGGGAGGTTCAGAATAACGCAAAATTGCAGTTTCGTGGAGAGAGGAAAAGAAAAACAGACATAATATTTTTTCACTTCTTTATGTAAMGCCTGGGTTGTTTCAGAGCAGGCATGCATCTCCTGTATTTGTATGTCTTACATCTTATTCTTGGGGAAAAATAGAAAAACAAAAGGTTTCTAAAGAGCCTTTACTTCTTTAAAGAAAAGAAGTTATTTAAAAGGGACACTTGATTCTCTACATTAAATATAGACCTGTTCTTCAAAGTAGTAAAATTTCCTTCAAGGCAAATTTCAACCTCCTGGACAGGCATTTTATAAAGTAACTTTCCTATTACATTCACCACTTCAGCTAAGCCCTGTTTATGCTTCTCACTCAAGACCAAAGCAGCATATCCTTCCAGACCAAGACTCCTCAGCAAGTATCTTCCGTCAAAGAGGTCACTGTTGCTTTTCTGTATCACAGTAGTAAGAGGGGCCAAGGCTGTGATTCACACTCCCTTCTACCACCCGCATATACAGCGGCATTCCCCAGAGCTCTGCTGCTACAGGCACTGATTGCACCAAGTTCACGGCACTGTTTTCCCACCCTAAAACATAACAGCTGGCCATTTGATCTTTTTGGTTAGAGGCATGCAAAAGTTGGGTATAAAACTGATGGGAAATTACTATGATTTTCTAGATTAGTTMATCAGACTGGAGGAAGGGAGGTGGGAAGAAACCTTTCAAGCACAGTAGTAGCTATGGGTCACAACATTTTTTTTTGTTTGTTTGTTTTGAAGAACAAAATCTGTGCTAGCACAAGGAAGCAACAGATGACCAATACTGCTGTTACTCAACCACTGCACCTGATGGTCAAGTCACTCAAACTCTGCTGCAGCATTGTGTGGAGGAACTTCACAATGTCCTCCCGTAGGTCCTGCCACTTTAGACATCAAAGAAAGAACCTCAAAAGATAGCTTAAGATTCTGTGATTTGCTACTAATACTCTGTAGAAAAGAAAGAGAACCAAAAGGACTTAGACTATAAAACTTATTCAAGCAGCAGTTGTAGACCTTCCTCAGAGCAGAAAGAGAAGAGCAGCCCAGGGACCAATTTCTCTCTGCAGGTTCCTGTAAACTCAAATAATCCAGTTCTGTCACTCCAGCTGTCCTTGGGTTAGCACTCAGACCAGGTGAGGTAATCTAGTCATCCAAGCACAGAATGAAGAGAAGAATTTATCAAAAGGTATTTCTTGGAAACGAACAAAACCAAAGCAAAGCTCTCACCTTTTCATACCCTATTAACGGGCTCTCAGTTGTTCCCACCTGCTGAATTAGGAAGACCTGCTTCAACCAGAGAGCATGAGAACAAAACAGTGGATCACACAAACCTGGTATCAGTTGTAGCACCTGCTGTGATGTAATTGTTTGCGTGCAGGACAAGGAAGCAGAACAGGCAGAGCCTTCATTTTTCCAGCAGAAACTTCAGTAACTTAAAAGCTGGGCCAGGTGGAGCAGGTCAGTGTTTGCTAGGGGCTCTTTCACCTCACCCAGCTCACTGCAGGTGAAGCTGGTACTTCACCTAAGCAAACACAGAACCTACCCGCAGAGCCCTCCTCTCCCTGCTCTCAGCACACTCACTCATCAGCGAGGGTCCACGTTATTTTGCTCTATTGAAAGGTCATTTCCCTGGGTTTTCTACTCCAGATGCAAACAACAGACTAGCCTTTAGCAAAGCAATTACAGCCTTGTACACCTCTCAGCTCTCTACGGTCTGTCAGTGAACACGATTGATTTGCTAACTCCCAACTGAGCATTCACCTCCCTGGGAAGCCCCTCAGACACGCTGATTTTACACAGGGCAACATTCTCATCCTCTGAGCACTTAATGCACCAAGTTGGTCATCAACAAGTTGGTTAATTAAAACCACCGAAAAGTAGGAGCCGCCTCTGAGGAGGAGGGAGAGAAGAGAGCTCGAGCCCACCTTCGTGCGCAGGCTCTCGTGGATGTCGGCTGCCAGCTGCCCTTCCCACCACGGCTCCTCCATCCTCCTCCTCCTCCCCACGCACGCAGCTCCGGCAGGGACGGGATCTGCGGGACGCGGGGCACCCGCCGCGATGCGGGCCCGGATTCACCTTTCAGGCTCCGGAAAACGCCCCCTGCGCGGCCGCCCTGTCCCGTCCCGTCCCGWCGGCCGCGGGGGAGGCTCCGGGGGAGGCGGGCGGAGCCGGGACCCCGCCGTGCCGCCCCCTGCGCAGCCGCCCCGCGGGACACCTGAGCCCACAGCACCTCCCACGCCCCCCGAAAGCCTCCCCAGCTCGTGCCATGGGGCAGGCGACCCCCGCTGAGCCCCGCGGCGAGGCTCCCTCCCAGAGCCGTGCCCAGGCAGTGGAGCRGAGCAGTGCCAAGGACGGGACCTGCATTCCCTGCCCAGCCGCCAGCCACRCGCTCGCCAGGGGCTGCTCTGCTTGCCTGGCTCCCCAGCTGGCCCACAAAGCCCAGCACAACCACCAGCACCCACCTGAGGCACTGAAATATGAACATTTTCCCACTGAAAAGCTATAGATGTGCAGTAATTGCCCACAGTGTTAACAGGGATGAGCTTTGAGCCTGTTTTATGGTTCCTAGTGCAGGATGCCTTCTTGCCTTTAGCTGCCAATGAACAGAAGTGTTAACCCATGTCCTGCTGCCCACCAGCTGCTGAGCCTGGAGGCTCCCTCAGGCCACACGCCTCCACACCAGCAGGCAGCTCTGCCCAGCTCTGCTATGGGGCTGGCACTCACAGGACCRCGCTTGTCCCCAGGAGCAGGCAGTGCCCCCCATGCTCTGCACCTAACCTAGGGCTTCCTGTCCTCAGGACAGGATCCTGCATCCCCTCCCTGTTACTCATGGTGCTGGGCACATGGGAGCCTGGCAGGCTGCACCATTTGCCTTCAGCCTGGCTTTGCACTGGCAGGTCCACCCCAAGCTTCATATCCAATGGGCCCTCATCTTTATTCCCATATGATTAGGCTCTGCATTGATAGTCTACAGGATGTTTCAGTAGATCGAATTGAAACACTTCAAGTCTTCCCAAGCAATCTACTTCAGCAACACCAGGAGCCAGGAAATACAAAGTCACCACTCAACCTCTTTTAGACCCAAATCGCAATGTTGATCTGTTCAGGATAAACATTTTCCATGCAAAAATTGACCAGGTCTGGCAGCAACTTTCCCATTCTTAATTGGAAACTACAGACCATTGTATAAATCAGTTCACAAGAATCTCATGAAGTGCTTGTTCCTTTGTTATTTTCCAAAAACAAAGGAAACAACAAAACCCATTGTGTTTCAGTCAAAATACATTTCTGTATTGATTTTAGTGTTTCTTGACTTGGGTTTTGACCAATGAAGAAAACTGTTGACCAGTCTTCTGAGGACAACACGCTCCCACTGTTTATACTCCAAGTTTGGTGGCTTGTCCAAAGGGGACTGGAAGGGGATGAGGAAAGTTGAGTGGACACCGTTACTAAACTTCTAGCTAAAAGCTGCCGTTAATTGTCCATCAGAAATCATTTTCTCCTGCTTTCCACTAGGAACATCTACTTAACGGAATACCAAGATGCTTACTTTATGTAATTTATTGTGTGCATCTATATTGTCTTTTTGCTTAAAACTGAACACAGGCTTAAATTTATTACTGAATAACAGCCTGAGCAATTCCTTGCAAGTGGAGCAATCTCTATAATTTACATGAGGGTACATCTATATTTGTAGTAGAAAATGTATCATATCAATATAGTTCTCAAGTTCATTACTACAAAAGAATAACTTACATAACTTCTTTCAATTCAAGTTTCAGTAATATAACCCTGATTTTCAGACATGCCTTACAGCCATATAATCTATTGTTTCAAAGCTCTTATATATTTTAACCTTATTTAAAAATCCTCCATATGAGGAGACTCCATATGGAGGAGACTCCATATGAAATAGAAAACTGTTCCATATAAGAACATAATACTGTTTTCCTCAGGAAAACAAAAAAACACCCATACGTTTCACCTGTTCCATTTGGAAGTGAAGCAAATACAACCCATAGCAAGACTTCTTCTGGAGTTCTGAGTCATCTCATCCTGCATTGATAAGAAAAGGTAAAGGAAGGAAAAAGCCTGCTACCCTAATCAATTGAGGTAGTATTCTTTTCTGTTGCATACATAAAAGGTACTCAAACAGTACTTTTTTATATATATGCAGCATCTTTGTCATCATAAAATATTTATAGCAACAAATTAGACAATTTGTAAGAGCTCAGGCTTAGCCTTGAACCTTRGAATTGTTTATCTAGGAGGAAGGAGCAACAGCAAGGCCGTTCACACCCAACGGGGACTCCAGCAACTGTTCCAGCTAACAACTAAACAAACCATGCCCAGACATTGCAGCAGTCTGAACCTTTGCTGTTATAAGAATTGACTGCAGTTACAGTCAATGTAATTTCAAGCACTTTAAGAAACAGAGCAAGTTAGATCAAAGTAAATCCATAGGGATTCCAAGAGTAAATAATTTTGCACAGAGCTTATATTAATTTAGGGAAACTTTATGTTAGTCTATTGTCAGTAAATCATGCTTGGCTAAAACATATTGCAATCAGTTCAACTTCAATCCTAAACCTATTTTCAAATGAAGAAAGTCATTTATCCTGAGGGATTAATTTAGGATTGCATCTTTACTGTTAGCATTGCACTTCAAAATGCTGCAATAAACACTGCTGAGCAAGATCCTCTGAAGATAACAAAGGACACAAACCCCACAACAACCAGAAAGCAGCTCAAGCAACTACTATGTTACCTACAAGTATGATAACCTGAGAGGAAGAGGCTCAGCTAAGGAAGAAAGCAGTGGAAACTAGTCCTAGCAGCAATCACAGCAAAACCAGCAAGAAGCAAAGCTTCTCCTGGCTGAGCTTTTTATCCAGAAGCCAATTAGCCAGAGAGCCCTTTGGGCTGCTTTTCTACCTCCCTACACTCAGCAAATAATTTGCACAACCTGGGAGTGCTTCCCACTTCTGCTTGCCCTTAACAGGTGCCTCTCATTTAGATGCCAGCTGCCTCTCATTTAGATGGCATCTCAAAGGCAGGTTGGTGTAGTAGTGTGTTTAGTACTTGCCTAAGTTGCTCTGGGTATGTTCAGTGTCCCACCTCTCTATTGAGGAGGCAGGAACTGCTTGTTTGGCTTGCTGTGTTTTATCCTATCCAGCTTCCCCGTTCACCTTGCACTTGCTCTGTTGCTTCATGTGTGTTTTCATTGCTTGACCTACCTCCCTGAACATTCCCCTCTTTTTTTTTTCTATTTTTTTTAAACTAGGTTAATATTTTATAGTTGTTGAGAGTTAAATCAACTCATAGAGCAATCTGGAGCTCATGCAAAGAGGAGGAACAGCTGGGACCAGCACAAGGTAAGCAGGACCTCTTTTGCATGTTACAGGAGGGTATGTGTTTTGGGGAGCTATGCTGCAATTCTGGGCTGGCACATCCTCTCTTGAGTGAGCATGGAGGAGCTACATAACAAGGAGCCAAAAACAAGCTTTGGTGGGGGGGGGAAACTTGAGCTGTGTGGATCTGTGCTGCTGCTTTGCTGGCATAGTTTGGTAAGTGCCAATGTAGAGCTAGTGCATGCAGGGGAAGATCTTGGGGCTGGCCTTGGGGAAGGACCTGAGCCTGTTAAGGGCCTCCCTATTCCTTGGATTTTGGGTGTGCAGAGAGCTGCTGCCTGTTCTTGCTTCTTGTTTGCAGAGACAAGCTGAGAGTGATCTGCTGAAAAAGTGATGATATTACAGGATTAGGACTTAAGAACTACAATTTTAAAGTCTGTGTGGTTTGAGGTGCTTTGTCAGTCCCAGTGAGCCCCTGCTGGATGTATGTCCAAGCTAGGCTGATAAACCCTAGCAATGCAGAGGAAGGACAACATTGCAGACACTGTCCTAGGGCTTAAGGAAAACCTCACTGTATTGAAGATATTTCATGTGTGTGTGGGGGGGGACTTTGGGTCATTTTTTTTTATAACAGCTTGAAATATCTGAGGCTTTTGTTGGAGTAATCACATGAAGCACGAGATGAATTTCCCCTTGCAATGCTCTAGCTCTTTGTACCAGCTCTTTCCCTGGTCTAAGCAGCGTATTCCCTTGCTCTGCCTCTCCATGGGGTGTTTCTGTGGAAAYGAGAAACTCTGTGAATGTATCCTGCCTCCTGGAGGTCTCACTTCTTGATCTACCCAGTGTCCAGATGATGGGGTGGTTTTTCCATTTATAGCAGCAGCAAAAAGGGCGTGTGGGGGAAACCTCCCTATTACCTTTTCCCATACATGTTAAGCCGAAGGACAGAGCTGGCAGTGGGTGGCCCTGCTGTGGTCCTCAGGGCTCTGCCAGGGGTTCCAGTGGTTTAGGGCAGTGGGAAGGGATTTGGGGGTGGCACGAGACTGCTCAGCTGTGGCACCTCCTTTTCTGCTGCAACATCACACTAGTGCTGTCCAAGCTGCTGGTATCTGTTGAATCCAGGACAAATGCTGGTTTTCCACACTGAAGATTTTTTCTGTTTTCCCTTCATTGTTGGGGCTGAGCTACACATAAGACCCATACAAAAATAAACCTCCATGTGCTTTCATGAAGGGTGAGACCACAGGGCAACTGCATTGGCGGAGGGAGGGTGATGAGCCCCAGATAACCAGATGCAAGAGCAATAAGCCTGAGCCCCTCTCCTGGGACAGGAACGATCCGTAGGGACGCCAGARCTGAGCCGCAGTGAATGTGGGTTCATGCGGCCTTCTTTGTGTCCCTGCTGCTGCYGTGCAGGAGGGAGCCCGGGCGGGCCTGGCGTGGGCTGTGGCGAGGCCCGGCTGCCCGCAGCGCAGGGACAYGGCGCTTGCGTGGGCCGCGGCCACGGGAGCTGAGCTGCAGGCCTCGTGCTCTGCCTTGGTGCTCTTCCGGAAACGTCCTGTTCCTGGAAGAAAGGYGTTTCATGCAAATTTCCATTTAAAGACTTGGCCTGCTTGGCCGGGGGGAAAGGTGAGCAGTGGGTGAATGTAGAGTATGTAGCTCTCCTGTGTCAGGGCCAGTCACTGGGTCTGGGGATCTGGGAGAGAGATTCCTCTGCTTCTCATCCGAGGAACTGGTTTGAGCCCCTCCAAGGGGAGTGACCCAAGGAGGAGACGCTCCCTGCCCAGCTCTGTGCTGGGCAGCAGGAGGGCTGCGATGGCCACGGAGCAGCTGAGCCGGCCGCTCTGCTCAGTGTCCTCCTGCAGTGTCCAAGGGCGGCTCTCAGCTCTGCTCYGGTGCATTTCGCTTACGAGACTAGCAGAAAACTAACCTGCCCCAAAACCAGTGTCCTTGGAAAATGCACAACTTGGACATTYCTTCTGGGAAGCTACTTCACAAATAGCAAGACCATCCCAGCAGTATTTCAGTTCAGTTTTATTTTAGAAAATGTACTTGAAATGATTTTACAGTTTACAACACAATTACTGTACTTCACAAAAATCATGCAAACATTTTGACTTGTAAAAATGGCTTTTTTTAAAAAAATACTTGTTTACTTGTAAGCAATCTCCTTTCAATGTGAGGCTTACAGCAACTGGAACTTCATATGAGTTTTCATATGGAGATGAGAAACAGCTGTGAAAACCAAGACAGTGCATTTGATAGCAAGAGAAGCTTCTCCTGCATGGCTACTGAGACAGAGACCTCTGTATCTCTCTCTGTGTGTGTGTGTGTGTGTGTGTGTGTGTTTGCACATCCTGGAGCAAGGGGGCCTAATTCAGCAGCTTTAGAGCAGAAGAGTTTCCTCTGACACAGAAATAATAAACTATTTTTGCAGCATGCTTCTGTTTTAGCTCAACTCTTAATACCTCAGCTTTTGGTTTTGCTGTTTTTTTGTACAGTATCTATATTGTATTTCTAAAATTTGATATGTTGGCACAGAGAAAAGTCTCTTCTTAGGGTATATTTTTAGTATTAAGCCCTTGAAGAGCATCTTAACAGCACCACAAGTATCTCCATGCAGCAAAAGCTGGCAGAGATGAAGGGAATGGGAAGTTAAGAAAGCTTTCCTTGGAGTAAAGGTTACATTTTGCACCAGTGATAAAATTGCATATCCATGACACATTTGGATGGCCGCAGAAAACCTAACAGGCAACTTGGGGCTATACAGACTCATAAGGCTACTTTAAAGAGAGTCTTACTGATTCCAGAACCCTGTGGAATATTTGATRACATCAATTAAATATCCAAATAGCCAATACAGGCTGTTAGCTCCAAGAATGTGGAATCATCTGATAATCCCCTGTGTATCCATGTACAGGCTATACTTGCTGGAAAGAGCTCTCCTGTGGATTTCCTACTTTTCCTTTACCAGATAATCTCTTTTTCTATACTTCATTGAGATAATCTTGATCAGGGTATATCAGGAAGCCAGTAAATAAGCTGTCAGTCCAGTAAGGATCATAAAAGAGCCCGTTCTGTTCTGAGTAAAAGATCTGCAACCATACCTCATCCTCCTCCTTCAGAGAAAGAATAGTTGATCCCGAGGCAACGTCGTGGTTACCAGTGTTGGCATCAAAGGTCTTGATCCGGTACTGACCGTTGTGGACCAAGCCAATGGCCAGATGTTTGTTGGCCAAAGTGATATCATACGTGAAGTAGTAGATACCTGGAATGCTGCATATAAATTTCCCGCTGGAAGCATTGTAATGTCCTCCCTCGTTCATCAGGATCCTGTCAAATTTGATGGGTAGTCTTTCTCTTGGGTAACTTTTTGAGACAGCCACAGAGAAGGCAGATTTGGCTGCTCTGGCATTGCAGGTGCAGGGACCTGGCATCCCTGTCTCGCCCTTGTTCCCTTTGGGGCCCTTCTTCCCTGGTGCTCCATGTTTTCCAGGATTACCCTTTAGGCCCTTTGGCCCTCGTGGACCTGCTTTGCCAACAGCTCCTGCTTTCCCCTTCTGCCCGGGCTTGCCTGGGTTTCCTGTTCTGCCTTGTGGGCCTAGAAAACAAAGGACACTGTAATTTTTTTTTCAGAGAAAGACATGATATTGTGAGTGGAAAGTAATATCATAGCAGTTTATTGCATATGGGAAGAAAAATCTTTGGTGAGAAGCTTATGAAATACCACCTTGGGCTGGAAGTGCATCAGGACGGGTTGGCCATGTTGTGTAGACAGACACATTACAATGAAGTGGGTCTAAATGGGGCAGCCTGCCCCTTCTGAGGACTGAGAGCCAGTTGTTATCTGGCTCAGCTAGGAAAGGAGTAATTAGGTAGGAAGTTAGCTAGGAGCAGGCTCTAAACCTCCGGGTTTTGAAGGAGTGGCATTGGTTTGGAAACTCCTTCCAAACCTTTTCAGAAAGAGTTGGTTGTGGGTTTTTTTTTTTCCTGCCTAGAACAGACAGGATTTTATCTTCCTGTCTATAATAGATAACTATATTGAATGTAAAAATTAATCTGTTGTATAGATAAGGTGTGGTATAAGGACCCTCCTAGCTGGGAGTTGGACTAGATGTGAGCTGGGATACATTAACTGCTAAAGCGGCCTTGGGATGGGAAGCAAGTTGGGTGCTGTCCCAGTGATACTGAAACTGCTGGTTAGCATCAGTTGTGGTAGGGTCTGATACAGAAGAAATTAATGAGGTCTTAAATCTTGCTTCTGAACCTGCTGTAGCAAGACGAGATTTAAATGTAGCTGTGGGTGGAAATCTGTTTTCCAGATTCCTTTCTGAAGGGTGAAACGAGAAGATGCAGCCTTTRCATGTTGCTGTTATGCTGAACGCAGAGTGCACTCTAGTGTGGCAATGGGAAATCGCTGTTTTGTATGTGTGCTTTTAACTGAAATTGGTTCTGATGCTTAGAATAAGCATTTACCTAAATAAGTATTAATAAAAGGTGTGGGGGGAAATTGTTGAAGCATCTTTCTAGATTGAACATGGTCAGTGAAGTGCTCCCCAGCCTGGTGCAGCGCTCTAGAGAGGCACCGGCAGGAAGGTGGCTGCAGCTCAATGAGCTCCCGTGGTCCATGTCTCCTCAGCTCTTAYGTAGACCCCATGGTCTACATGACCTGTCACCACCGCTCATCAGGCAGGTCTTGGGCCTCCAACAGGGCTGAGTGCTCACCAAAATGCCATTGCTGTTTTGGGAATATTGGGAATTTTTTTTTCTTTGGACTATATTACCGTGAAGGTCGTGAATTTGAGACCAACATCATCTCCTCTAGGGGTATATACTAAAATAGGCAAGATCTCACTCTGGAGAGAAAAGAAGGACAATAATAAAATCAAGGTAACAGATTCCATTAAAATTCCATCCACAAATAATATTTTTAGCAGGTTTTGGCACAGTGTTTGGAATGAGATTTGAGATTTTTCTCTCAGTTATGACTTTAATTTAATTAGATCTTCAGGAATTTGGTTCTGTGCAAACATAAAAGGTCCCATCCGCTGCTTTGGCAGTGGCGTTTGAGCTAAGCAGAGGCACCCAGGTACCATGGGTGAGCCTGGAACCTGTTGGCAGGAGCTCATGAGTGGGAGATGCTGGACAGGGGACAGCAGGACACTTGYCTATCCTGGGACTTGGATTTGGGATGACACAGGCTTGGTGTTAACTGGCCTGTCACACGGTTGATGATATATTTCACCCTTGTGTTTTGCAAGAAGCCCTTCCCTCTTACCTTCATCCCCATGCTCTCCCTTGTCCCCGTCCTTGCCGTCTTTGCCATCTTTGCCAGGGAAGCCCATTCTGCCGACGGTCCCCGGAGAGCCGGGGGCTCCGGGAGGGCCAGGGGGGCCGGGGGGTCCTGGCACGCTGCACGCCAGCTGCTGGGGCCCTTCTTGCAGCCCGCCCTTGGCGAAGCCGCTGAGGATGTGGTTGGCCACGCATGGCACAGTCCAGAGGAGAAGGACAGCAGAGATCATGGTGCAGCCTGTGGGAAAGAAATTTGGCATCAGGTAAATGAAGGAATTTAGCTCATCAAGTTTTCCAAGTCTTACAAACTTGCACTTCCCTTAATAAGAATCTGTGGCCATCCCTTGTTGTTTCCTTACACAGGTGCACTTGGCAGCTCTTTCTCTGACCACGCTGGCTCTGCCTGTGGCTATTGGCAGCGAGGRATGAGGATACACAAAAAAAGCCCTTGTCCATCAGCCCCATCTCCTCTTCCTCAGCCTCCTTCCCACCCCCCTGGTGCTGCCCTTTCCCTCGCCTCCCTCTCCTGCAAGAGCAGAGCACCCGCAGGGCTGGCACAGGGACAAGGAGAGCAGCTGCTCCAGCCCTGCACTGCCATCGTCTTCATAAACAGCCTCAAGTAAAGCCATGTGAAACATTTTTTCCCTCATACTACAGCCACTTAAATATTTTGCAAGATTCTTCAGCTTGCTTGTGCTTTCTTATCATATCCTTAAATCCTGCAACTAGAAACTCCAAATACTTAATATGAGCAGGGATGTAAAAGTAAGCAAACTGTCTTCCAGATACTTCTTCATGCTTTGATGCTCAAATAAATTTAGAGTAGTTTAATACAGATGCGATAGAAACATTACCAGTGGTATCCCAATGGTATCCCAGACCTTTTAATCTGTTACAGGACTTTTGTTCAAGCAATGTTCTCCTTGATATTAAGTCAAATAATGGGAGCTTTTGATATCTTCCCAGTAGTTAGAATTGCCTCTTGTACTGGAAATGAGACATTCACAGCATTTTATAAATTCCACGTTGGACTTTTCTCTGTCATTCTGGTATTGGCTCCTGAAGGGGATGGAGCTGCATGTTACGTGCTCCAAATCCAGCAGAACAATCTGCTACGTACAAGTGTGGACTTGGGAGCCCCTGGGTCTGCAGGGTGTGTAATTAGGAACATGCAGAGGATGGGAAATGCAGAACAGATCTCTGGGCTGCATTTGGCTGCTAAGCCATTTTGTTCTTCTGGTCTTTTTTGTTTTTCTTGTACTTAAGTTTATTTGCTGCTGGTGAAAGGCATCACTTTAATGGCCTTATGTGACTGAAACCACAGCCCAGGATTAGCTAGGACAGCTGAATAAAGGCTGCTCAGTGCACAGAAAGGAGAACAAAATGCTAGAATGTGTAAGGATAGAGAGTAGTTCTTAAGCCTTGCCTAGTAACCCATCTCAAATGTGACAGAAGGGAAGAGAAGGAGGGTGAGTGACACTAATAAGCTGTRGCAAGAAAAATGAATAATTGTGGGGGAAAATTTGAAAAGGAGGTGGGACTGCTTCATGTAGGGCTGCACAAGTGAGGGGGAACACAAGGCACAGAAGGTGTTTTCTTCTCTTAGTGTGTCTTAGCTTAAGTACTTCTATTTAGCTCCAAACAAGCAGAACCAGCATGAAGACATAAAAAGTGGCCACCAAAATGCCCTGAGCCTGGCAGCTGGTTCCTGCAGGAGCACCCCAAGGCTACAGCTGGTAGTACTGGCTACCTGAACACCCCGCTACTGAATAGCACCCCGCTCGCTCATCGTTTTAAATGAACAGGACTTCGGAAGTGACAGGGCTCCTCAGGCTGCAGGTATGAGCAGCCTCTGTCAGATGGAATCTGAGCAGAAACGTTTCCTACAGGTAAAACAGCCTCTAACTCACTGCTCTCCACAGGGCTTCTTGTACCTGCATCTGAACTGGGGCCAGTTCTCACTGGGGAGAGGATCCTGGGGCACATGGACCTCATGTGCTGCGGATGTTTAGTTGCAAGGCTCCATAAAAACGTTTCATACCACATCATAGCAACGCATGTGGGTCGAGAAGCACAGTCATGTTCATGAGAGAATCTATAAATAACCTTTTAAAGAAAACTGTCTAAAAGAAAACATGCCTCATGCTGTTCCACCTTAAAAGAAAAATTGATCTGCAATGTAGAACAAATGATGAGCTCCAAAAAGCAAATTAGAAACAGATCAACATCTGTCCTCTCCTAAGTACAGGCGGTGGGCCTGGCAGCACAGATCATGCAGCAAGGTTTCATTCGAGTGCTTACATTTCTAATGACACTTCAATTAAATATCTTTTGTAATTGGGTTTTGGAGACACTTTGCTCTTGACAAATTCCTGTTCTGTGGGAAGGTCCTCAGGGAGCTGCTTAGGGAGGGAAGGGTCCTCCTGCTCTGCTGACTGAGTTGGGGCACCCGGGTGATGGCACTAGTTTGTAGGTGCTCCAGAAGCACTGGGAAAAGAAGGTAGACCATCTGGTCTTGAAAATGATAGTTCCTATCTCAGAAGCCAAGTCTTGGCAGGCAAGGCTTCAGGCAGGGCTCGCCTAGTGATCCGTGCTGGTTTGTCCTGGGATGCGGAGCTGGTGCTGGCACAGGCTGTGCTGAGTGACTTCTGGAGGGGGAGCTTGGGTCGGAACCGAGGTCCTGCTGCCCCTCGCGTGTGCAGTGCATCCCCCACGGCCGTGGCAAGGCGGGATGCACAGCCTCTCATTCAGGCAGAAAATGATTTTACTTCCAGCAGCTAAAAATACCCCATCCATCCATCCATTGCCTCACTCTGAAACGATGACTKTTGAAATATTTATAAGCAATGGTGTTTTCTATGTTGCTCACTCAAAGGAAAACAGAAGGGAAAATTTCCACAGGATTCCTGGGAACACAAGTCTGTTATGTCTTCAGCACAGCTCTCGGGAGTCTTACGAATACATGTATTAAGAAGAAGGGTTTCTGTGAGAAAAGATTTGCCCTTCRGAGCGAACCCCGGGCAAGCAGGATSCAGTATTTCTCCAGCYGCTTGCCAGGCAGCGGGGCTRTCATCAAGTCAGAGGGAAAACCCAGCGAGTGGCCGGTGCCGGACGCGCTGGCTTGGCAGCGCGCGGCTGGACACGGCGGGACGCGGCGGAGGTGACGTGCAGGTGCGTCGGGCTGTGCATGGGCAAGTGAGCGGCATGGGATAGGATGGGATGCTCTGTACAGCCCTGAAACGGGGCAGGATGATGCGACCCTGTCAGCGAGTGAAGGAGCAGACTGCTTTGGCTTTCTACTCCACTTTTTTTATATATATATTTATTTACTTATTTTAAGTATTTGAGTTTTTACTAAACCAAACATCATCTCTGTGCTTCAGAATTTTGCAGAATAGCTCAAGGAATCTGGGCTTGAAAATAGCCCATTTGACCATGAGCCTGACTCTGACCTTGGGTGATTATTTGCAGTGTTTCTGGGTTGGGAGCAGCAAGACAGCCCTGGCCATGCAGCCCTAAACAAGTGATTAGATGCAGTTAGATGTGCTGCCAGCGTCAGCAGCGGCACAGTTAAAATGGATGCATTTAATTTTGGACATAACCCATGAGGTAGTTAAGCCGGATATGAATTTGCTGCATTGCCTGTTTTTATACAAAATAATGTCAGAAGGGATCAAGGGGAATGACCTATGTTCTGTGCGTGGCATTGCCCCCCTGTCCCCTGTGGCRAACGTGTCTCAGCCCTGCGACACGGCCGTGGTTCAGCACCAGAACAGGGCAGGGAGGCTGCAGCTTAACGGGTACGAGCTGGCTGCTTCCAGCTGTTTCCCTGCTGGAATATTTCTTTTAACTTGAGACTGTTGTCCCTGCGGATTCCTCTGCATGCACYGGGAACCTGAGAGCTCGGTGATTTAGATCTTACTTGGTAACTTCTTCAAAGTTAAGGTTAAGAGAGGAGAGAAAGAAGGAGGGGGGAAAAAAGGAAGCAAAGGGAAGGTACTCACCAGAACACAACCCGTCAGTGAGATCCTGACATGTGCTGGAAACCTACGGACTTTTCAGCAGATGTTTTTGCTGCAAATCCCTGTCACGGCGCAGAGCGACCCCCTGGGCCTGCTGCGACGCTGCCTTCTGCGGGGGGACATTCAGTTTTGTCCCTTCTCTCTATTTATGCTTTGCTGCTTTCTGCGTGTGTTCCGAGCTTCCTGCGGCAGCTCCAAGTTTGGCTCAACTTTGCCAAAGGCATATTTGTATTATTGTGTAATGGGTCTGAGCCTCTTCCCCTGTCACGTGGCAGGGGAAGAAATTTCTACACACATATGGCTAGAAAGCTCTTGGTGCCTGGGGAGCTTTTGCCTTTCCCTTGCTCCCTTTGTGCTCTACTGTGAAACAGCCACTTCTCCTGGATCCTTTCTGGCTGGTTTGGGCTTTCTCTGATGTAGTTGTTGTTTGTACAAGCAGAGTTTGTATGGGGATGGGTCACACTGATAATTCGAGGGAATAATATTGACACTGGATCTGGAGAACAAGGGTAGAAATTCAGCTCTCGTTTCCAAATCGATTGCAGCCTAATGAATAAAAGAAGATTGTCCCAAGGCTTGAAGTGAAATGAGGTGCCCTGCTGCTGTTGCTGCTCATAGACCTAGGCATAAAGCAGAGGTGGGAAGCTCAGAAGGAGACCGTGCRGACTCACTGCTCCTTCAGGGGAAGACATGAGGCCAAACACAGTGAATTTGACCCAAAGATGAGGGGGCAGAAATGATGCTTCAGCCTTTGAAACTTTTTTTTTTTGTCTTTAAGCTAGCAAAGTATTGACAAGGATATACGAGCGACTATCTGATGGACAGGAATCCTGGGACGAGCAGGTGGCTGTATCGATAGAGAAGCAGTGAGTGCCGGGAACCCCCTGCCCCTTCTCGCTGTCCTCTGGTAGGTGACGGTGTTTGGCACCTCAGGAATGCTCTGTCCTGGCTTGCACCGATCCATTAAGCCCAGAATCTGCAAAAGCCCTGCAGGACCCAGGAGGTTATGGGACACATGGCCCTGCCGGGTGGAGCTGTGCGGGTCTGCTCCCACGCCGGGCCAGATGCTGGGACACAAGCCAGCCMCAGTTTCATGCAGCAGGGATGCAAATAGCATTTTGGGGGCAGAAAGGTRTAGCTGTGGTAGAATCTATGAGGACTCTTAAGCAAATCACACTAATAACTTGATTATTTTCCTGATGTTCCATAGACCAGAGGGAGAGAGTAGATCCTTCAGCTCCATGCAAGGGCTGGTTTTGCTGCTGCTAAAGATGGCCATAGCACTGCTCACCTCATCAGTAAATCTACAGCATCTGCTCCAAAGGAATCCAAATTTTATATATAAATAATATATATATATATGTGTGTGTGTGTGTGTATGTATACGTGTAATTTGCTTTGGAAGCTGCGGTGAGCTGAAGGGCCTGAGAGCAGGGCTGTGTTTTGCAGACAGGGCGCAGGCCAATTCTGCTGCTGGCTGTCGGGCCCAGGCCCGGCTTAGCTGCAGCCCAAGGGCCTCTGAACAACGTCCGATGGGGGACATGTGGATCCTGTGGAAGGGAAGGCTGCATTACCCGGTGCCCACGGAATAAACAGTATTTCAGCCCTGCTGGGCTGGGCACCTGCTTTGGGAAAGGAGTGTCTGACAGGAGCGAGCGGCTGCCTCCCCTGGGATAACAGCACGGGGTTGCTTCCCACCACGGAAGGGGTTTCCCTTATTTACTGACTAAGTGATAATGTATTTTGCTGGTAGAGACCCTGACCTAGAAACGACGTTGTAACCAAATCAAATAGCTCAGCAAGTGCAAAAATAGCTGCAACTAAGAAAGAGGCTGGAAACAACCTAAAATGCAGACTTCAAGGCCAAGCTAGAACTGGCCATGAAAGCGTGCCAGTTTTCATGGGCGAATGCAGGTGCTTTGTGGTTTTTTTTTTTTTTTTTTCTCTTCTTCTCTGAAGATCCTAATGGAACAGGAAAAGCATTTTCTGCCCAACAGATCTGCTTGGCTTAGTGTGGAATGATTTTCCTTGGCTTTCCTTGGCTTGGCTTAGTTTGGAATGATTTTTATTGCCGTAACTAAAAGGAGCTTGGAAGTCTCTGAGCTGTTGTTAGAGCATGTCTGTCCCTCTCCAAAACCCCCATAAAATGAGCCTCTATTTAAACCTAAAGGATGCCCTTAAGACCATTAGCTGTGCTTAGGAACTGCAATCCTAACCCATTAAGATAAAAATAAATGGAGCTTATTTGGGCAAGAAGGAAGTGGGAGACACCCCAAACATCAGGGAGCTATGGCAGACAGARAATGTAGAAGATAAATTTTAAGTTTGGGTTTGTTTTTCATTTCTTTTTTTCTCATGTAGCTTCTAATTCAAACTGAAATTCAACCGTGTCTTGCACTTGCCACAGTTGGCTCCTTCMTAGATATGTAATAAATTTGAAGAAAATAAGAGCTGCATGGAAATACCCTGTATTTCGCAGCAAAGCTTAGTGTGGAAAATTTTGGAGTTCTGGGAAGACCTGCAGGAGCCAAAGCCTATGGAACAGCCTTCAAACGAGCAGTGAATTGCTGTGACTGTAGTTTATCCAAGAAAAAGGTGCAATGGAACTGGTTATTGCTCGGAGCTGCCTCAGGGAACGAGCGGGTGGCAGGTAACTTGTATTTCATAGTCTTAGACCAGGCAGGGCGCASAGGAGCTGATGCACAAACCCAGCGGGGAAGCTGCTGCCTGCAGCCCTCGCATTAGCCCCAGCGGCAGCCCTGCTCCGGGGCTGGCAGCCCATGGAGCCGGCAGCCCCTGGAGCCCGAGCCCCGGCACTGGGGGCATTTGCCCAGGAGCAAAGCCCCGAGCGGGTGTCACCTCCCCGCAGGCTCCTGTGGCGCCTCTGCCCTGCAGGGACAAGCAGCATCCCTGGGGACGTGTGACAAATCGCTGGCTTTGCACAGCAGCAGTGGAAGTCTGAGCGGCTAAAGATAGCAACAAATGAAACCCCTTCTCCCTCCGCCGCTGCAGCTCGAGTGTTTCACGTTAGAGCTTTTTTTTTTTTTTTTTTCCCCCTCCCTCAGAGAATTTACTAAAAATGGACTTTCAGCCATTCCTAAAATATTTGGAGAACGCTGGTGCCTGGATGCGACCTTGTGCTCCGGGTGCTTGAGCAGGGGGGTTGGACTAGGTGATCCCTAGAGGTCCCTTCCAACCTCAACTGTTCTGTGGTTCTGTAATGTCAGCAGAACGGGCTGTGGGGCTCTGGGGCTGTGCTGTCCCTGCCCTCCCTGCTGCATCAGAGCCCTCGTGGGGACATGGCAGGTTCAGATGCCTGCAAGGACGYGACCCACAGCGAGGAGAGCTCCACGCCATTCCTGTTTCAGGGAATGTGTGCTGAAAATACACACAGAAGGTATCTGCTCCCTTCTGTGTCCTGCTCACCAACAGCACAGGGGAGTTAAACTCCCAGGCGGTGGAGCTCGGGCTCCATGGAGGAGGACTTTCCTGGAGGAGACTCCATGGCCTCCCTCGTGTTGAGCCCTGGCCGCTCGGTTCCTTTGCTGTGCACGTTCCGCTTTTACGAGATATAGGGGGAGGTTAGAGAGCAACAGGCCAAGGACTGTGCTTAGGTCCAAGTGCACTGCAGTCAGTGGCTGGGTGGTGGCTATTTCCAAAGGCAGTGGAATTACTGGAATATTCTTTGAAGGCGCTGTTGCTAGGAAGGTGGGTTTGTTGCTGCCTCCCCGGAGCAAAGTATCGTCAGGCAAAACTGAAGGTTTTTCCATTCCTCTGAGGTCCAAAATGAACATGCATTTTGCACAAGTAACGTAACATCATTGCTTAATATCTYTGGTGGGCTTCTGGTTGGGTCTCATAGGAGATGTAAACAAATCTATTTTGTRTAGAAGTTAGAATATTTCTATTTGTTTTCAGCAAAATCAAGCCAAGCAGAACTGCTAATAGAACGAGAGGGAGCTGCCTGCGCGTAGTTTGGGCCATAGTGCTTGAGCCTGAATGGAATAATTAAGATCATACCCAAAAGTGGTATGGAARCAGCAGCTGTTGGGTTGCACCAGGCACAGGCCTTGGTTTAGTGGGCCAAGAAAAGTCTCTCTCTCAGACAAAAAGTTATTTCTTTTTCCAAAAGCACCAGCTCCATTTCATGGTTAACTATTGCAAACATTATCCCTGCTGCTTTGGATCCCTCAACAGCCTAAATGGATGACACATAGGTAGAACAGTGCAGCTCTGTCATTAACCCACTCAAGGAAAGCCATAAAGATCCAATTACAAAGCAACGTGGAGACAGTAAAAGCACCTTCTGGCGCGTCCTGGAGGCTTTGAAAGATAACTCAACACTGAACTTTTCCCTTCAGCAAAAATTAAACGTTTTCACCTACATAAAACCCATCTCTGCACCAGCTGCCTGATTTGCAGTGTGCAGATCAAGCACACCACAAGTAACCAGAATTGAACAGGAAGAAAAAGGAGGCAGTGGTTGAAAAAGGAGTTGAAAAAATAAGTTTAAAGCTGTGCTACATGTCAGAGTCAGAGAAAAGAACTGTTTTCTATTACAAATTAAGAATTTGACTACTCTGTATCAACAGGTTAAGGAATCTCCTACCTAACATCTACTATATTTGTGCATGCAAGAAACAGTAGCTCAAGATTTGCTGCCTCGGCTTATTTTCATTTTATGTTCATTTTGTCCAAGTTAATTTACAAACTTATTTCAAATTCATTTTGGACAGGAAAAAAATGTTTTTGTGCAATAGGAAGCTGTCTTTGAATATGCACAATCRTAGTGCTTGCCAAATCCAAAGAGAAGCAGATGGAGGAAAATTAATCCCCATGCTCAGATCCACAGTGTTCTTTAACATTTAACCCCTAGCCTATAAATAGAACAACACGTTTTAATCCTCCTTTTAGTTGTCCTTAACTGTTGAGACTGATGCAGAGAGATCGATTCCGAATTACTCACCAGCTCAAAGGATTTGTGTGTTGAATAAAACATTATTAATCCTTTTTTTCTGTGGAGCTGCCTTCCTGCTGAACCAGAGATGATATTGGCTCATCTTCCCTGAAGCCTCTCCTAAAAGGCAGGGCAGGTTCAAAGTAAATTAGTCATATCTTCATTTTTGAAAAGAAAATTTATCCACACAAGTGTGTAAAAACAAACAAACAAAAACTTCCTGTAATAATTTTGACCAGATGTTTGAACTGACAGTTTAATAGCACCAAACATGCTCTATATGCTTCTAAAATATATATATTCACTTCTCTCCCTATTTTTCCTCTAGCACAGAAGAAAAATAATCACCAGATAGAATTTAAATCTGAAGGTAAAGGCTGCCAAGATTGGTAAGTTATTTGTTCCTCATTCTAAATTGCTCTTTTCAGTGCAATTTCTGAATTGCCTTTTACCCTAAAAAGGGTTCAGTCTCTAGCTACAYTTAGAAATGTATCTAAATAGCTCAAAGAATTGTTAATGTGATTCTTTTTATGCATCTTCTTTTCTCAAATTGAAGATAGCAATGCCTCACAAGACAAGAATTAGTGTTTGTGAGGGCAGAGGTACTGCTAGCTACTACTTAAGCGTCATGGACCTTAGAAGGGTTCACAGGTAAAACCAGCTAATTCATAAAATCCTTTGAGGACAATGTGCACTTGAATCAGAGAGGRTTACCAAAGTACTTCTAATACTTCAAATTTCATCAAATTATTTTACAGACACACTTTAGTGTAGTTCTGTACTGAACCTAAAGCAGAATTTCTCTCTACTAAATATACACAATCATGAGCAAGCAGCAGTAAAACATACAAGCCCTGTAGCTGGGGTTAGTGCAGCAATTACTGGTTGGAGAAGTGCAGGTTCCATGTGGAAAGCACCCATGACCAAGGAAGGGCAAGGGAAGAGATTGGAAGAGACTGGAAAATTTAAGTGAGGCTCTGGTGAAATGGAAGGAAAACTGCTTCCCTCTTCTTTTCCCTTCTGGTTTTCTAAATCCATGTTTATGAAAATGTAAAAAACAACCTCTGCAAAAACTGATTTTCACTGTTTAAAAGTTTATTTTCTGTTTTGGAACTTGGTTTCTAACACTACTTCTCCCATCTTCAATGTTACTAGATAAATGTATTTTTTGCAAGAGTTAGGAGGAGTTTAAAATGAAGTCTTCAAACAGACAAAGTATTAAACTCAATTAGTAATTTTATAGCAAAAATAAGCACCGGAGAAGCAAACCAGCAGAAAAATGTAATAAAAGGAAATCACCTTTACACGTAGAAATAGGTTTTACTTCGTCATAGAAGGTTTAACTTTCTCCACTGTCTAGAAAATGAGCATTATAACCAGTTTCTTCATTATAAGAAAGCAGGATTACAGAATGGAGTTTTCTTTGTCCTACCATTAATATAATCACAACATGGTTAAGCCATATTTAATGAAACAATTTAAGCCACAATAGAAGTAGTTCTTCATTCTTCCAATTCTAAAGCCCTGCCATTGGTGTTAAGTTTTTCATCCATTGTTTTAACCTTAGTAGTCACAGTCTAAAATTAATGTTTTTAAGTGATCAGTATTGTCAGATCTGCTGCATGACACTGTTATAAGGTATTACAGGTTGACATTCAGTATTACCCCATGCGAAAGGGTTCTGAAAGTTTCAAGGAAAATATCAAAGAACTCAACTGTTTGCAACTCAAAACAGTACAGGTAAGACCACCCACTTTTTGGCTAACCTTCACTTATCATAGCAATGTTGGCATTATTGGAAATAGGGATGAAGAATCAGCTTTCTATTTAAACAAATAAAAAACAGAAAGCTCTACAGCCAGCTTCTCCTATCGTCTTTTTAGCATTTAAGACCTTTATATTAATTTAACCAACCCTGTACAAAGCAATCCATTTTTACATATTCCAAAATACTTATTACAAAATGATCAAGAAAAACTACTTTTCCTTTGAAAGCCGTGTGACAAGCAAGTCCCTTTAGAAATAAAGCCGTCAAGTCGATTTGCAACAGTTCTTGCTCTGTTTGACAGTGACCCCTGCTGACCATTTCTTCTGCTTAGTCAGCTGCACTGAATTGGCTCATGCAAATTCAGAGCATAGATCCCGTGGCCAATGAATTTGGATCCCAGACACTATCAGCTCCTACTTCCAGTACAGAATTGACTGAGTGCGGGAATACATTATATACATATATGTATATAAATATATAAACATTGTGTGTATGTATATAAACACACACTCTCTAGAACTGCTATACATACTACACTGCTTTTGTCTGTTGTAAGAATTTATCACCAGCTTCTGTGACATAAGAAGAGAAACTGCCATTTCTGACATCTGTTACACACATGGAAGGTAAGCGAGCATCTAGAGATCTGTGAACAAGTATGAAGTCATCCTGAGCATTGGAATGATTTTCTCCCAGTTTACTGTCCAAGAAAAGAGGCCATGGGATCATCAGGTCTCTGGCGTTTCATTCTATAGGCTTCCATTTCCTCCTCCGTTGGCTCCCTCGTTTCATATACACTGTTATATGGTCTCTTCCTCTCATCTATCTGCATGATTTCTTTAACGTGGAGGAGACGAGCTTCTTCTGCATTTAGTGCCTGAAGTGGAAACAAACAAAGTCTGTATTAGATTCTAGGACAATAAACAAGCAGGAAGCAAATGCTGGGATGCAGCAATGAACACCTGTCCGACCCACCTACAGCCTCACTTCATCTAATGCTTTTGGGTGTTTGACTAAGTGAGCTAAGGTGATGCTTAGCAAACAAGGTATTTTAATCCCCTTCCAGCTGCCAAAAACCAAGTAAGAACATCTAGTAAAGTTTTAGCTAAACTATGATTGTGATCCGGAAWGTACAAAAGCGAATAAGCCAGCCTGTGGTTTTAGTGTTTTTCAGTCAGGGTGCTGAAAAAAAGAAAAAATGCTTTTTAAACAAACTCTCCTGTTTCTCAAATTACTGCTATTCCTTGTTATTCAAAATAAGTCACGTTTCCAACAGGTTTTGATTAACACTTGAATAATGTTTTGAGTAAGAGTATAGTCCACCTTTTTAAGTTTTTCTTGTTTCTTTTTCTCTTCACCCTCACTATCTGAATTTGAGCTCTTCTTGTGTTTCTTCTTTTTCTTGTCTTTCTGTTTTTCTTGGTGGATCTGTAAAGTAGAAAAACAGCTCCAGTTAAGACTCAACTAGCAAACAAAAATGTTTGAGACATTAAATCCCAAGTGTCCACTAAGGCTATTTCACATCTTAGTTTTGAATAAAAAGATGTTAATAATCAAGTAAGACAGTATGATAGTTTTCAGGCTCATTAGAAAGAGATAATTTAGTTACATATATGTTTCCCTCAAAATACTGAGAGGGAGCATCTTCTCCCTTAGAAGGGGAAATAACCTACCTCCATCAGAGTTTTGGGTTTTGTCATGTGTTCTTCATCCCTGCTCTGGTCTTCTGCTAAGCTTGCTTCCGTATTCTACACGGGACAATAGGAAAGATACCAGTTTACAAAGCATGATCGAAAATGGACAAACAAGTTAAAATTTAGCTTGATTATTTTTTTAAAAGTGCATAGATGGATGCTTTATAGCTATTTCCAAGTGACCAAATAAGGCAATACTTACAGCAATTTCTTTCCCAGCTTCTCCTGTGCAGTAGGAGAACTTGACAAAGGAGTGGCAGCATTTATAACCCCACTTGCCTTCTTTCCAGTATGAGCCCCAAATGCACTGCAAGAGGAAAGGCAACAGCAGTTACACCCATACAGATACTCCCATAAGACATAAGCTGCAATTTTTTGCCTTTTTTTTATTATTATTATTTTATTTCCCTGATAAGGAGCAACTCATTCCACTAATTCAAAGGGGAAGCTAAGAGAAATACATCTGCAATTTTACACTAATCTTTCAGGTATTATTTCAAAAAGAAGAGGAACAGCATGGGGCCAACTCATCTTCAAGGCAAGGGGAAAGAGAACAGTAACTACACCTCACTCCCTCTTAGAGGTGTCTCCACACCTCACTCCCTCTTAGAGAAGAAATTTAATGTTTAAAGTTTGAATTAGTTGCTTACTGTGTGGTTATTGATCTTTACATCCTCTTCATATTTAGAGCAAGCAATAGCTTTCTCTTGTCCTTTGATGACTGTTCCATGCCTAGAATATTCCACATAATCTTCTGTTTGAGCTAAGAGCAATTCAGCAGGTGGGGCATCTAGATGTTCTTGTCCTCCATACTATAACGCCAACAGAAATGACAGTTTTTTGAAGGAAAAAAAAAAGAAAAAAAGCATGCTTATATGTAGTTAGGCATACGTTTCAAAAAAACTTCATCTCCAGTGTCTTTTCTAGCCAGGCTATATATGACTTCCAGAACAAAATACTACACAGGAAATGTAGGTGSAGACAATTTAATCTTCAACCAATAGCTAAGAGAAGCACATCTCCTGTGTGGAGATAGATTCTTTCTTTCTTTCTTGTCTGAAGGATTATAATAGTGCTATTCCTCACTTTAGAGATCTTGCAGACCAAGAAAAGTGTTCAGAGAAAAACAAAAGTCAGAAAAAACTTTTGCAATGTTGAAAGCGTTAGAATCTACATGAGTAACAACATCTACTCATCATCTGAGAAACTGGTAGCAAAATATTAAAGATACAGTTATCTAGATGAYGGCATCCAAAAGCAAAGTCTGAAAATTCTGATTTCCCAATTCTGATTTTCATGCTCAAGAGAAAAGACATACTTAGAAATACTTTTTCAAGACAGATTTCAGAAAAGATGCTACTTCTAAACACAGTAGTTTTTTAATCACTTCTATTGTTTTAAAAATGTCTAGGTTCCCACTCCACCTACATACCACTTTTAGATTTTTCAGTTTGAGAAGYTTGACAGCTAAGGAAAGTCTATYAGACTTTCAATTACATTATTCCTATATTAAATAATTTTGAATCAYGTTAGATTTTTTGCATCTATAAACRCACACATATTTATAAAAATAACACAGAACTGATCAGAACAGTTGACATTTTAACACAACATTAGTAACTAGATTTGTTCTCCAAGACCCAAATTCAACAAAAACTTTTTTAAATCAAACCAAACTTCTATTACCTTCTCTAGGATGCTTTCTTTCTGCTGTGCCTTGAAATCTTCTTTTTTCACTTTGAAGGACTTATAAAGTAGCTCTAATTTTGTAGGGTCCGCTTGAAGATGAACTTCAGAGCCTTTGTCGTAAGCCTCCCAAGCAAACACTGTGTACACAAGAGGTGTCACTCAGTGCTTACTCTAAAGCTGATGAATGCATTCAAATTACCACTTCTACTTTTGTGATCTTTTTTAAAAGATATTTTCACCCAGAAAGGATAACAACCAAACAAACACACTTACACTGAGTCTGGGCCATTGAAATAGTATCTCCAGTGTAACGGACAAAGTTGTCACCTGCATAACCAACTCTGCAGAGAAAAATAAATTACCATGCAAGTAACAATTACCACAATTTTTCTCCTTTAAAACACTCACAAGAACATCAACAAGGAAGTAAAAAGTCTCCTTTGTGCTCTGATAGTCAAGATGGAGGGAGAAGGTGCACTCAACTCAGTACATAAATGACTCCAGGCTCCTCCAGTCCTGAAGGCATTTACAGCAATTCACAGCACTCGCTGCCTACATTTGTATAGACACATTTGAAGATGCAGAAGAGGAGCTCAGGCTGGGCATGGGATACCAAGTACCCTGAAGCCAWGCTTGAATCTAATTGCACAATATATACGAATGGCAAGGCATATAGTGATATTCTAGCACAGTGATTTCAGGTTTTGGATGTGTGAATCCCTTCTCCCTCTGGGTATTGCACCGAGATAAATAAAGCCTGCTAATAGCTTTGCATTAGTTGCACACCCTTTTGAAGCGACTCACAAAGAGCATACAAGCCACAGGCTGAAATAAAAATCAAATAATGTTAACAGTTCACTTCCCCCCTCTTAATAGAGCCAAAAAGCTCTGGCAAATTTATGGTCTGCCATGCAGTTGCAGAAACAGTTATGGATTGTCATAAACATAGCTTTTGTTTACAGATATAATCTCTAGATAGAGCAGACTTCTTATCCTTGTTCCATATTCACATGTCCCTGAAAATCACTAAAACACTACTTTAAATACTAAAACAAATAAAAAAGTGTTGGTAACAATGCTTTTTCATGTTTGCCACAAAGTATCACTAAAAGGCTTTACTATTAATCATTTCAGTTAACTAACATAAACAATTCTTTAAAAGATTAATTATTAAAATATTTAAAAATAAAATTACTTAAAACTCCTCATTTTTAACAGAGTTKTGTTGGATATGTGAACATTTCCATGTTTTAACTTACTCATCTGGATTCTTGCCAGTATTTGCATATGGATTCTCCCTCATTGCTCTTGTTTTGGGATCATAATAAGCTGAGTTTGGATCTAGATTCCTCAGGTACTAGGGGAAGAAGACAACAACCATGACATTTGATTTAAAAAATATGATTTTAAATGAACTGAAATTAGTATTGCAACCACCAATCTCTCCTAYACTTTAAAAAGGAAGAGCTATGCATCTATGCAAGGGGATGATCTTTGAGAAACTAAGACAAGGAGCAGYAGAAATGAGAATAGACCTTTATCTCTAAACACCAAATTCCTTAACAATAGTCCAATGTTTGAAATATGAATAAAAAAAGATAAATGAGTAATAGAATTCAGTACTCACTTTTGCAATATCTTCCCGAATACGTAAATTTCGAACGGTGATGCGCCTTTTAGAGTCAAAGTTCTGTCCAGGCATATCAATGTCATCTGCATATTTATCTTCATCTTCATCTTCGCTGTTATGATCTCTTTCCTGAGGAGAGAGATAGGAAATTTCTAAATAAAAYGAACATGGATTGTAGAAAGAAGTAAATTAATCTTATTTTAGTCATTTGATTAAAAATTCCATAAAGTCTGTAGTTAAAAGTTAGGATCATTTACTTGGGGGCTTAAGGGTCCTAGCATATCATGCAGTTACATTCCACTGCTGATAAATATCCTTGTAACAGGATTTTCATAATACAAACAGTTGCAAAAACACAACTGTGATGATGTTAAAACAGTTATATTGCACAAAATGTACATGTTAATACATAGTTATTCTCTTTCATCTCTAAGGTTTGAAAATCCACAGGAATTATTAATTATGAAATCCAGCACCCTCTACCCAAGAAAAGGGCAGCCTGAAGTCAGCACTGAAACTCTTCTGCCACCCCCATTTCACTGCTTCACTAAGTGCAGGTGCTTTCTGTCTCCCCATGGTGTGATGCAGCGGATAATCATCTTACTGTCTGTGAATTTGGTTCCTCTTCTCCCCATTGGTGTCTTGGGGAGTTCTGTAGCAAACAAAGAGCACATCAGCAGAGAACACAAGACAGTGGAGAGAAGGAAGGAGGCAGGGAGATAAAGAACCACCAAAGCAGAGCTTGTGCCTATGGCACAGGCCYACTGAAAGCAAAAACACAGCAACTGTGTCACACGATGCACAGAGACCACTGCCATCTAAAGGTTTAAAGACTGTTTGCAAGTATCTCTATTGCAGAAACATTCTGGTGACCTTTTCACCGAATTCCCAGGTATATTTCCAAGCTCTTGCAAAAGTGGAAAAAATTCTCAAAAAAACAAAACAAAAGAAAGTACAATTCAACTCTGAAAACCAAAGTAACCCCAAACTGTGCATCTGTATATTAATAAATACATGAGTAATTGGGAATGATAGAGATAATGAGCACAAATCAGAAGCTATAACTTCTGCTGGAGAAATGTAACCAAGCTTCTTAAAAATAATTAAAAAAAAAAAATCCCCCCCTCCAATTATTTAGTCTCTAATATGGTAATACTTAGGGTAGTAAATATCTCAACAACTGCAGTCCTGGAAGCCCAGAACTTTCACGGGAMGAGGCACCCGTCCTGCTTCTCTCTTTATCAGAAATGATTCTTTACACTCAAATACGACCTTCTTCTACCAATTCTGTTTTACAAGGAATAAATATATGAAGGCTAAATAACCTGTCCTATAGTGGCCAAAAGATTAAATGCCTAATCCACTTGGAAGGAAGGTTTGTATTATCATATATTTTGTGTGGGGTTGGAAATTAAGTTTACTCTGCCATCTAGTGACAAAATTAAAAGTAACAACATATGGAAAAAGGAGGCYCAGTTGTCTGTAGTTGTTGGTTTTTGTTTGTTTTTTTACAATATAATATTTTGATTAAGAACACCCCTCAAAATACTTCTCATCATTCATGGTCTCTGTTYTCCCCCATCTTATAAACTTAGAAATTATAACAAATACTTTTTAGATTTTTATATTAAAAGGCYATCAAAAGCCTAGACTATAATCTAAAAGGAGATGCAAAATCTATTAAGTTGCAARCCAGAGGGAAATACATGTTGCCAACCTTCAAATAATGAAAAACAAGMAAAAARCTTCCTATTCCTATTTACGGGAAGCATTAATCATGTAATCCACAGCCATCGAACAGTCATAACCACAACGGTAGGACAGAGCAATCTTTAAATTCAAGAGTTCATTTTAGTGCATGCATAAAGTGTTTAAATGGAAAACAATTCTTTTCTGACTCCCAATTTCCTATCTCTCATTTCACAAGATTTCCATTTGCCAGAACTGAAGCAGGAAAGTCTTGCCCAGGAAAGGAAGACAAAGCCTCTCTCATGTAAAAGGAGGCACTTGAAATTCTTGCAAGCGACCCAGAACATGCTCGTGTTAGGAAGACATCTGCATTGCTGACAGGCTCAGAAAGCAACAAGAAACTCAATCTGCAGAGTAAGAGCAGCAGAAAGCAGACATGGCCTTTCTATCTTTATTCAGCATAAGCAAAAATGAATTAGGGTTTACTTCACTTACCACTTGCTCCAGCTTTCCCGATGCTAACTCTTCTTGAAGCTTCTGGGCTTTCAGCGTACGTTTGGCCTGCATATTACAAATATGGTTTAATATTTTATTAGCAAGTGTGTAGTAAGACTTATCACAAGCATCTGACTGCTGTTATTTAGAAGGTAATAATTACTACAAGAAGTGGTCTATTAATTCTCTAGATGGCTGTTAAAAACCAGCTGTGCAGTTTGCCTACTCTTATATTTACCATGGATTTTGTTTATCAATGACAGGAAAAGTGTATACATTAGTTATCTTTAAATGGAGTTTTTTATGCTTTAATTTCTGCACACTGATTCTTGTCCTGTCACTGGATAGCACAGAGAGGAGTCTGGCATTCTTTTTCATGCTCTGCCATCCACAATACCTTCACACAGCATTAGCTTCCCTGTGTACTGCAGGAAAACACTCAGATCAGGCCCACAAAGATACTTAGGCATCGAACTGTCTCTTGGAACAGGCCTAACATCCAGTCAATGTAGTGGACTATTTTTTTCCCCTCTATGAATTCAACAGTATCTATGTAGATTTGGTACCCACAACTACATTTACTGCAACACTTAGGTGCTGATCTGCAGGGACATTTATAGTTAGTCCATTGTTCCATGATACTAACAAAAAGTAACAAAAAATATAAATAAAGTTTGAAAATATAGATGCTAGCTCTAATCATTACAGCCAGTTTATGAATTCCCTTCTGTAAGTCAATCTTCACTTTTCAAAAAGAATTCTAGGCCTTGCCTAATTAGAGGCAGGCAATTTRGAGAGACAGCTCATTACCGTATGGACTCATTCTCAGTTGTCAGTTCTCATCTTTGTGTCCAGTTCAAGCTAAGTTTGTTTTCAAGCACAGAATCCATCTGCTTTTCATTATGAATATAACACAAAATCTAGTCTCAGAGTGCACAAAGGAAACATGCCTCCCCAGCCAAACACAGAATTTTTCCCCAGTGAACTGCAGSATTCACACACCAAGTCAACTTTGGAATATTCCTCTACAATCTTCATGTGCTCTTCAGGGTTATAACCATTCCAACGATCTCGCTTCCCATCGTAGTCAAACATTAGCTGAGGCTGCACGTGTTCATCTGGTGCAATGTTCATGCCTGTGTATTTGGCTCCAACTTTCCTGGGTCTCTGGAAGAGAAAAATAAATGATTCAGTCAGTTCAATACACTTAAATATGTTATTCACCTTAAAAACATGCATCAATTAAGCACTTCTAAAGCTGGCTGAACACAGCACTAGAAACCTCTGATTTGTAAGCAAGTCCAAGTAGTTCATTTCTAGTTTTTTACAATAATGCAATTGCCTAAAACCCATCAATTTATTGCAGTCTCATATAATTCTATCATCCCTAGTTAACAAAAGCATTATTATACAACTTCTGGAAAACACTCTTCAGCAACTTAAAACAAAAATGGACAGCCTAGGCAGCACTTAAGCAAAAGTACTCTTAATAAATATTTTCATTTATTATTGCACTTCTTTTTCCATATAGAGCTGAGGCACTATATGCCTTAGTGGTAGAATGCCCTCCCTGCTGCCCCCTCCACATAGGGTTACTTTAGAAATTTCCAAGCAACATTTCAACACTTTAGAAACTAGTAACTTTCCTCTTGTTCATAACTAGCTACTTCCCACAAAAGCAGAATTTACAGTTTTCAAAATCATTACAGCCAAAGTAAAAGTTACCTCCATACAGTCTTTCTTTTTGTGTGTCAATGCACCACAGTTCTCACAAGCTCCTTTGCGATATTTAGTTGCTATAGAATGCTAAAAGAAGAAAAAAAAAAGTTGAAACTTCCAACAAGATTCACATAAGTGCTCCCCACAGTGACCTATCTTTTTCAATACAAGCAAAGCCTGTACACACTCTACAAAGCCATAACATATTTCAGTTATCACCAAACACTGTGAAATGCCTGCTAAGAGTTCCAGCTCCTCTTTCCTTTAAGACCAGCAAACACAGAGAACTACAGGAATCGATATTTCTATTCTTCCTTGTTCGCAACATCAAACATTATCTTTATAACTAAATTACTTTGCATACCTCTTGAACTCCTCGCTTGTACCAGTCTCCAGAGGAGCTGTACTGCTTCTGCTTCTCCGGCTGCGGTCTCTGGTGCTTTAGAGTGGGTCTTTTAGAAGGGTCTATGTACCATGGTACTGAGGATATGTACTGAGGAATGTGAGGGTTGATGTCTCTGTCAAAGAAATCAAGTAATAAATACGYGGCACAGGAAAGGATTCACGGTTTAACCTAATGAATAGCTCCTATGTTCAACTGCAGTGTTTTAGGGCTGATCATACGATAATCACTGAGGCTGCCACAAAGCATTCTAAAATAACACGCCCTCGATTCACCTATTCTTTCTCACTCCAAATCAGGTCTTTGTGTTATTACAAAAACAGCAACTTCTCCCTTCCTTGGATATAGGAAACCTCAGTTAATAACTGACAAGCTGCCCAGGGAAGGTCTCCAGCACCATCTTTAGTTCTCTTTTAAATCACCACCTGCAAGGGCCTCTCAGCCTCACTCCAGCAGATCTGACCAACAGGGAGCTCTCCCCTCTTTTTTTTTTATCCTCCTCCCCCCAAAACAAAGCTCTGTCCACCTGAGGAAAGCTCAGGTGCTASTGCTACAAGCAAATCCACAAAATAATTCAGTTCTGTGCTCACCTTTTGCACTGCCCGTTGTGACTTTACAGTTACAAGCAGCAAAAAGTCCTACTTTAAACAACTATGGCTTTAGAATAACTGCAGCGTCAGTCGAACTTACTTGCCCTCCTCGTCCACCTCGGCGGGCGCGTTGCCCAGCTTCCTCTGCTCTTCCAGCTCCTTCTTCTTCCTCCAGTCCTCCCGGGTCATCTTCTTGGGCTCCTCCAGGCTGACATCGCTCGCCCCTCCTGCGGGAGCCGCGTTCGCAGCGGTCCCGGACGCCATCGCGGCTGGTCCTACGCGGGTAGGGAGCGGGAGGGGAAGGGCTGCAGCTGCCTGGCGCGCAGCCTGCGGCTCCGCGAGGGCCCAAGCGGCTCCGCGGGGGACGAGGAGGCCGCTCAACAACAGAGCCCCTGTCCCGCCGCCCGCGTCCACCGGCTAGGCCGCAACCCACAATGCACCGCGCCCCGCCCGGGCCCCACCCCTAACGSGAATTGCGCAGCGAGGGCGGAGCCAAGCGGTCACCCCAGCAACGCCGAGCCACGCCTCCTCCCCTCCGCGCGTGACCCGGCAGCAGCCAATGGGCAGCCCGAGCGTTAGTCTAACTGGCCAATGGGAGGCGCGGCGGGTGTTTAACTGCCGCCGGCGGGGCGGGCGCGGCCCGCCGGTGTGAGGGGACGGTGAGTGCGGGGCGCGCGCGGAGCCCCCGGCGCGCGTGGCCGGCCTCGGTGGAGGCTGCTGGAGCCGCCCTCGGCAGCCGGGCGGGTGGGCAAAGTGCTGTGCTTGCGGCCTGCCTTTGTGGAAGCGCGCCGAGTTTGTTTGTTTTTGACTCTAACTTATAAAGTTCTGCCCCAAGGCAGCTCTTTTCTGGCTGCCCCTCTTCTCTTTGGCTGCTGACCTGCGCTGTGGCGCTGAGGGGAGCAGAGCTGAGCTTGTCCTTATTGGTGCTTTGGGCTGCTAGTGGCACTGTGTTGGTTCTTAAACCTGCATTAATTAGGCTGGGAATTGTGTGGGAGCAGCCTGTGCCCTGGTGCTGCCTTCTGCTGTRAGGGTCTGTGTGTACACAGGCCTGGCAAGGGGAGGAGTGTGGGTTGGCTGCTCCTAGGAGCTGTGCAGTCCCTCACGTAGCTTGTTAAATGAGCAGTGRTAGAAGAGGCTTGCGTGGTCTGACCTGCCCTTTCTGCCCCTAGGCTTCCCAGAGTGGTTTCTTTGGCCTAAAGATGGCCACGCTGATCTTCATTGATAAAGAGAATGAGCAAGTTGGTGCTTCTAAGAATCAGCTAAGGAGACCTTCAGCATCTTGTGAGTACATGCTGTGCTGAGTAAGCCAGGAGGAGGGTGAAGTGCCTAAAACAAAGGCTCCATTATCTGCTGTTGTGACTGTTGTCTTTTTTTCTGCCTCTCTGTGTCTTATTTAATTTTGCTAACTATGTCAGCTACAATAAAAGAGAAAATTGCTGTATGCTTTAATGCTGTAGAAGGCTTATGCTTTTTAGAAGTAAAGAATATTTTTTATGGTGCCTAGTTTTCCAGCATGTGCACATAATGGAATAAGCTTTATGTTTGATATGGTGCTAAAACTTACTTTTTTTTCCCCCCTTTAGCAATGGTTTTATCTGAAAAAGCACAAGTCCATACTCCGCTTCCCAAAAAAGTGATCAATGCATCTCCAGCCACATCTCTCTCTGTTAGAAAGGCCCTTGGAAATGTGAACAGAACTGTAGAAGCATCAAGCAAGAAAGAGCAGTTGAAAACAAAAAAAATTCCTTGTGCAAARAAGGTGGGTATAACACTTCTATAGGAAAAAATGAGTCAGAGCTTGCCTACATAAGGTACTGGGATATAACAGCTTCAATAATATTGAAAGGTGGGAAAATGACTGAAATATTTACCCTTCTATGGCTTACTTGCATTTAAGGAGGTAGCCTTAGCCATAGCTTTAAGGCCCTTGTTGCAGACATTCTTTTCTCTAGACCTATTCAGTGCACAAAAGCAYTACTGTAGACTGTTAGGGGAGGAATTGCAGTAATGCAGATAAATAATGTGACTTTCTGCTTAAGATTACTGAAGACACAGCTGGATTAGAAAGCAATGCTGCAGTGGCTGAAGAAACCTATCCAGAAATTGAAAAAATGTTTCCCTATGATCCTCTAGGTAAGAAACTATTGGTGCAATTATCTAGATGAATGATTAGACTTTGGCTTGAATTCTGATTTCAGCTAAGCTATTGTGGCTACTAAATTGCTATTGTATTTCTGGAGTCCTTTCTTCAGTGTAAGGGTGTTAGCTGCTTATTCTTATTTATGCTTGTTTGAATGCTGTTAACTTCARTAGCTACATTTAAAGCATTTAGTCTTTGGAGGCCTTTACTGTGGTGACAGGAAGGTGGTTGTGACTTACTGACCTGCAGTCTCAACTCATTAGGTACCATATAAAAGGCAAATGTTTGAAGGGTATGTTTAAGCATTACAGAAGCATGGATTTTCTAGGTAGYAATATGTAACTGGAGAAATTTGTACTGCTGAAATAGAAGTCATACTTCTGCAGCTGTAAAAATTTATAAAGCTATTARAATTCATGCAAAGAACTTTTGGACCTGGTTAAATGTAAATGTTAAATGCTTAAATGTAGAAGGACTTGCTATTTCCAAGGGTGCTATTACTGTACATTGTTGATAAATCAGTGTTTTCTGTAAACAGACTTTGAGACCTTTGATGTTCCTGAAGAAAACAGCCTAAACAATCTGGCCCTGAGTGGTGTTCCCCTCATGATGTTGACAAGTTTGCCAGATGTTCTTCCAGACATGATTCCTTCTCCTGTGAAACTTCAACACATATCATGGGAGTCTGGTAAGTGGAGACTTGCATGAAGTCCGGGGTTACAAGTGCTCATTGGTGGTTTGGGAGGGAAGCTATTGGGCTGTTGCAACAAAGAGACTGCCACTGCTGCCCTAAACTACTGGAATAGGAGTCTGCTCTGGAACAACTGCTGGCATGTARCTGAGGTGACTTTCACTGGCCAGCTCTTAGCAAAGGTAACTAGTATTCCTGTTGCAGAGTCAGCTGAAGTGTATTGCCAACCAAAGTGTTTTATGCAATCTGATCAACTCTTCAATGTCTCAGGGAGATATAAGATGTAGCTTGTGTTCTAAAACAAATTTCTCAATTTCTTGAACTGACTTAGTCTATTCTGAATTCTTTCAGGCTTGCTACAATCGACTACTGATTTCCTTTCTACTCTGGATAACATCATTGATATGCCACCTGTGAATTATGACCTTTAAAGTATATTCTGAAGCTTTTACTCAGTTAACTTTGCGTAGTTTTTTATCCTTAATAAAGGCTTGTATAACTTGTGTAACCATAGAAATGTGTATATTCTGTAGATTTTATATACCAGATGTAGTAGTAACAATGTTTTGAAAAAGAGCTTATAATCTATTAAAGCAGAGCCTGGCTGGTTTTTAAGCAAAGCTATAACCATTGCTGTGAACTCTGTTTGGAAGTCAGTACCAGCTGATTGGACTGCATGAACATAATAAATACACAGGTTCTTCTGATGTCTTGTATTGCCTCATCCTTCATCCATCAAACATACTAGGATGCAAAATTAATCTGTATCTTTTATAAGAGGTGGGTGCTAGAAGTAGAACCCATGGGCTTCTTGAACTGGTGAGTTCAAGTGGTGCTACTGAAGAAAATTCTATATGGGACTGTAGTGAGAACTGTAGAAGACCTTGTGAGGAGAAAGTGACTGGCAGGAGGCCCAGCTTGTGAAACTACCTTCTGACCAAATTCCTRTCAGGGCTAGGCAGACATTCTGTTTTGTCAGCAAATTCTAGCTCCTTTCCAGCTACTCAAGGTTAGCAGCTTAGATAAGGCAATAATTCTGGTAGATTTAGGGAACCTCATGAACAACAGTTTGTCTAGCCTGTGTCAGACCTGAGCTTCCAGCACTGTTTTGCTGTTAACCCTTCCAGGCAGTTGCTGTGCACTCTAGTGCAAGTTCTTTATTAAATCTGCACTATTTAACACCTTAAGAACCTTCARTGTTTTCTCAGTYAATATTTGACCTTCTGTTTTCTGTCTTGCRGTCACAGAGGTGGTATCTTAGATCYTCAACTAATTTGATTAAAGTCTACAGCTGCATGTTTGTCACTGCTATATGTGGCCCTAGCTGCTGTTAGGGAGCCTGTGAACTGAGGAATCTAGCTTTCAACTTGTAAGAGCAGCAGGTCTAAGTTGCAGCTTGTCTCCTCTTGCAGCTGTCCTTTTATTGTACAGACAAGCTGTACAACTTGTGCTTGATTGCTGTATATCACTGGATAAAARTTGAATTAACTTGCTTTGCTATGTTAGGGGTTGCAGATGATTCTGTTTTACCATGGGTTTCCTGTTTTACCATGGTTTTAATGAAGCTTTGTTAGTAGGTGATACTCCTGATATACACTATTCCAAACAGTTACCTAGAGGTTCTGGAAAGGCAGAAAAGCTGTAGGACTGCAGTAGTAATCTAAACTGATGCACTAGAGACCAGGCTAAAAACTAATAGTAGATGAAACTGCTTAATGCATACATTTMAACTTTTGATCTTTTTAATTTACTCAGGAAACTATTGGGTGTTTTCTCACTAATCACAGAAGTATCAGTTCAGAAATGGAGTTCCTAATGAAAAGAATCTTAACCAATTATTAGTAATTGGCTCACCCTTCAATTTTGTAGTAGTCGGCCTTTGCTGAAGTAAAAAGCTGCTTTTATAGCTGCCACGCAGTAGGTGGGTTGCAACAGTTTGAGCTGCCTTTGGGTAAGAGCTCATCTTTAATCATATTCATGGCAAAAAAAAAAGTGTTTTAAATAACTATTGTTTACTTCCACAGCAGTGCATGAGCCCCTGCATGATGGCTGCGGTATGTGGGACCCTAGCAATGATGGCCTAGTGATGCTAGTAATATACAACACCTTAATAAGCTGTGTCACACAGCCTATCAGCACAAAGCTGAATGAAATGATGCAGCACTGTTGAACATTCATGGTAGTGGTAATGTCTAATGAGAGACGTTATGCTCTGTGGGTTACTTTCAATAGTGTTGCTCCTTCCATACAGTGACCTTAAGGAACTCTATTGGCAYTCCCACTCAACAGATGCAGAGGCTGCTCAGAATCTTTGTCATTTATCTAACTTTAAATAGCTTGGCACATGTGCAGGTGAGATCGTAGATTAATTTACAGAATATTATTACTGATGGCAGTGTAAGGATGGATAGAGAATGTTTTGACCTATAGCTCCTATCAAAAAGGGTCTATAAAGAAGAAATATGTAACACTTGATCTCTTTTTTTTAAAGCTGTTTGCTGAAGTGTCTTTGATCTATGGATTAATTTGCTTTCTTCAGTCTTTAAAAGGGACTTGGGAACCTACAGATGTCCTTTTTCAGGACTCTGGCTTGTTACAACTTTGTAGCATAATGGTCTTAAATTTTGTGAAGTGGGATAGCTTGGTTGTCTTATAACATACCATATGACTACAAGGAACAGCAAGACCATCTTGTTAGCTAAACTTTCTATTCTAGATACTACATAAATAGATGCTTAATGTTTGGAAGTTGGCTGAAAGATGAGAATATTTTAAGTTGTGTGTGACTAATTTGGCATAATAGTGTTCCTTGTAGTCCTGCTTTGCAATGTGAATGTGTAACCACCCTCCTTTCTGGCTGTGGTTTCTAGGACACCTAAAGATAGGGGCAGGTGGCAAGGGAGCCTCTGTTTATCCTATAGGCTATTTGCTCTGTGGGTGCAGACAGGAATTTATAGACATGGGCAATCAATGCTCTTAGCTTTGAAAACAATAGCAGGCAGAACTAAAAATTATTTTCACTGTTCTGTAGTTGTGGATGCTTTCTTGGCACATGTTTAATCTCCTTAATATTTTATTTGTCAGGAGGAAGAGATGAATATTTGGGGAATAATCCTATCAGAAATTCTGACTAACCATTTGACAGGTAGTTCCCATTTGGAAACTTGCTATTTGTTAGTTCTTTAGGTGTCAGATTCGGACAATTCATTCTGCTTGGCTATTACCCTGAAAGGTTTCAGGTAGAAAGCTTTGCAAATAATTTTATAATGGCTATTCTCATTTCTTGGCTTTTGCTGGAAACCTCAGGAATCAGAACGCAGAAGAATGAAATGGATAAAAGTACAAAATTTTCAACTTTAACTGTATTTTAACATATTTTGATGCTACATAATAGCTTTTCTCTGAGACCTAAGTATGGGTCTAGTCTACCTGGTGTAAGAGTCAAGTTATAAGGRCTATAAAAGAAAGAAATGGAAACATCTTCCTTTAACTTTTGTCTTTTACAGCTCAAAATAAGAGTTTTTAAAATAATTTTACAGAAAAATATTTTTAACTGAGACACTGAAATTAGTTGCACAGTGCCATCATGTGGCCTCTTATGCAATTGTTCAGATAAAACTAATCATTGCTTCTCCTGTGAAACAGCAGGCAGTACAATATGCCGTAAGGGTATGATATAAATCATAACAAGTRTCTCATAATTTTAAAAAGTAGGAGGTAACTCCAAACAGCCTTGTCTTTTAAAGACGTACCAGAGCTTTGTACATGTCAGGGAAATTTATTATGGTAGCAAAACAGTCATTTCTTTTAGGATGATCTAAAATGCTCATCATGATTGAGCACCTAGCTATTTTTGGCACCTGTAGAAATAGACTCTCTGCACTAGGGCCACAAATCGTGTTTGTGTGGATATACACAGAAGATTAGATCATACTTGCTACTGGTAAGGTTCCATACCATGACTGGACACCCGTGCAATGTTTAAAGAGTGGTAGTTAAATGATTCAGATCTTGCTGCTGGTAGCTTTGATCTTTAAGCCTGAAACTTGTTGCTGGTGAGCACRGTAGAATAGGAATGCAGAAGGTGAACTGTGAGTCAGAGGCCTAGGAATCTGGTAGTCTGCCTGTATGAGAGAGCATTTTAGCTGCTGCTCTAAACTCTGGATAATGCTAGAAAGAAAATCATGCTACTGCAATCTTTTTGTCATTTCTGTAAGTTTATAGTGGGGGGAGTGGGAGGAAAGAATGGTCATTTCCTAGCTCAATTTTCTTTTTTCTTTCTCTGAAGTTTTATAAAGAGGTATACTTGAGGTAGAGAGGACCTCCTGCATGATTCTTTCCTGGGAATTTCATCTAGTTTTCTATATGTATCTCCTGCAGCTGCTGTGAAGCAACAAAAGTTAAAATCTGAATAAGAAGCAGCCAAGGATTCTGAGGTTTTATCTGTGGATAACTGAGATCTAAAGGATGTTTTATGTATCCTTTTTGAGGCAAAAGGGAGAAGTTGCTAGGAATTTTAGGTATGGGGTATAAGCCTATATTCAGCAATACGTAATRCAAAACCAAGACTTTATGCAACTACTGCAGCTAACGAATATATAAAACTTTGGCCGTGAACCTTTTGGTTTAAAAGCATTATTAAAATATCCCGTTCAATTTCAGACACATCACTGATGAATCATGGAGTTAAAGATGGCTTATGATGAATAATGAAGCTACCTTCAAAATTGGTTAGACATTAATTATCAGCATCAAATTCCAGGCAGTTAGGAACACTTATTTCCTACAGCAGTGCCTCTCCCAAGGCTCAGGGAGATTTTTCAAATGCAGGCTTTGCTCTTGCAAAGCTTTGTTTTGGAAACATTCATCAAAAAGATTCATTTGTTTTAGCTGCCTCCCATTTCATGTAATTTTTAAACCCATTTGGCAGAGCTTAAAGGTTAAGTAATTGATTTGYACAAGAACGAAGCTGTGATGAGACCTTGTCACTTTGTGGATTGAACTTCCTATTYGCAGTGACTTGAGATTGGTCATTCTTTATTTAGAAAATGTAAACACTAACCCTCAGAGCTGCAAAACTAACCTATGAAGGCTCCTAAGAGCTGGCTTCCTGGCTCTGCAAGGGAGCCCTGCCTCTGAGAAAGCTGCGCTGCCCCATGATATGTCAGTTAACACTGATGCCTACTGGTGACTTTAAATTCAGCTTCCCTAACTGTTTTACAGTGGCTGTAAGCATGAAATGCTAATGTTATAAAGCTTTATTACTCTCTTGGGTTGTGTCAGAAATGTATGGAACTTGATTTTGAAATGGTATATGAACAGTCCTGCTGTACAACGGTCCTACTTTGGTACCTCTCTTGGTCAGGTTATTCTTTCTGCATGGAAGTCTACTGCAAAACAACTCTAAAATCATAACTTTGAGATCCATAATTTCAAATGCACAGCTTTGATGAAACCTAATATTTGTTAAAGTTGTTTTCTGTGTGAGTGATCCTGATGAGAGGCCAGTGTAGCTGTGTAATGTGATTAGGAAATTTGGATTTCAAGAGAGAGTGCATAGGGATAGGTACCCTCTTAATTATCCATGTGTAAATATGAAGTGTTGTCTCTAACTATTCTGACAGCTAGAATCACTTCAAATCCTTAATAGAATTTCTGTGAGGAGAGTTTGGAGATTCCTACAAAAACAGCCTTTTAGCAGGCCGAG